ATTCCACCCTCGAATCGACCAATAGGAATAGGGAAACCTGGTGCCTTACGGTCAGGGGTGCTACTGTACCAACCGTATTGTAAATTGACATTTAACTGCTCTGTATTTAAGGTCATATTCCAACTTGCTGCGATTTTAATAAAACAACCCTGTCATATTTCGGGATGCAGTGCAGATATAATTATGATTTAGTCCAATTTTATATTTGGTGAGATCTGGTCGGATTTGTTTGGCGGTCTCGAGTTGTGACCCGTAGGGTGCAGTGGTTAAAGCTTGCGGCGTGGTGAAAGGTCTCAAGATTCATTTCCCGCTGATGTCCTACGGCAGCGAGACGCCGTCTGTCTGGAGCAGCTCTGCAGTACGTAACACTTTCATATACATAAAATTTTAAAAGACTATCGGTCAGTTGCACAAACATTCATTAAGGTTTAATAACGGCTTTAAGCTTTAATTAATGGCGAATTTGTATGGGTAATGTCGCTTTAAACTAATGATAATTTTAATGGACGTTTGTACAACTGACTGTTTATCCAATTTATAAATTTTTTGAAAAAAAAAATAAATTGTCTTCATATATGTGAAAAATATTAGTCGTTTTAGGGGTAGTTAATGGTCATGAAAATTCTGTTGAAATAACATTTATCAGCCTACACAAATTCTTCGATGATATTCATAAATATGGCGGTATTCTTGTTACCACCTTGTTATATACTCGACAGAACGCTTCTAGTTATTTTGTTATAAAAATTTTACTCATGGGAGCACAGAACACAGAAACCTCTTTTCCGTGTTCTGTGCATGGGAGCATGTCAGGCCTATAAGTTTTTGAAGAAAGAAGAATAGAAAAATAGCATAAAAGAATTTTCAAAATCGGTCTATCATTATTTTAGCGGAGTAATCAGTGAATAAAGTGAATATTTTTTATAATATTAGATCAATTTAATAAATATTTGGCAAATAAAAAAGTACCTTTCATTGTAATTATCTCATATAACCGTAAAAAAAACAATGTTATCTAAAATGAAAACGACTAAAGTGATATATCATAAATAGAATCCAAAATAAATATTAGATAATATACATACATTGCTCAGATAAGCAAAATTTGCTTTACTTTAATATTTAATTTTACAAAACTATAAATTTTTTCTTAAATATTTGAAAGCTAAGAAATCGAAATAAATTTAAAATATCTTACGTAAAAAATATGTGCCAATACTGGTGATCTCTCTATATTGCAAGTTAGATAAGATTTTATGATATATTTATACAAGTAAATACTACTACAGTAAATATTATAGTAAATACTACTACAAGTAGTACTAGAACTCAAAATAAATACATAATCGATTACGATATTTTAAACGGCACCCTCTAAACTTTTAATTTTAATAAATTTAATAACTAACAAAGTATAGGATCGTATTATCGAAACAAATGCCCGTTTTCACTAAAGAACTTTTAGGAGTCGCCAAAATCTGACTCATAAAGAACAATGGTCAAAATGGACTACGAAAAAAAAGTTCTTGTACCAAGATGGAACTATCACCAAAATGTAGTATAAGTTGAATGTAATTATTATATACCAACAATTTATTTTTAAAAGCTGGAAAAGGAAAGATAGTCCTCTCTAAAATATGTCTTTATTTTGTAGAACGCAGTTTAAATTATATTATTTTTGAACGCATCTTATTACAATAATAATGTCATTCCTAGAGAAGTCCCTCTCTTTTCAAAGAACAAGATCGATTTTATTTTTGACTAATCGAATTTGATACAAATTTTATATTATTTAAGAACCATATCAATCCGTGAAAATTATAAAACTTAGATAAGATTACTAATATAATTAGATGTAACTTAGAGGAAAATAGTTTATTTATAATGAAATTAAAAACAAATGATTATTTATAAGAATCGATATTACAGTATTCAATCGATTGCGACCTCCCTTTTTTAGACAAGTATGTGTGTGTAGACGTGTTTCTACGCAGACCGTTTTGTAACTTTGGCGATGATTTTGTATTATCTTCTGTATTATGGGGAGCATACTAGGATCCATGGGCAGTATAGAATTGAGGTCTGGAGAGAAATACCGGATTTTCTGGATTTATTAGAATTAGACTTAAATATAAATAAAGTCCTAATTATAACGGGTAGAATTAAGTCGAGACATTGGGAGGAAACAATATTATGTGTACTTATTGGTCGATGTACACTGGGATGCTGTGCTCATATGATGATCATAGTTTGGTATCTTGGATGGCCCAGACACGAACAGAATGTAGCTGCTTCCGTTTTCATTAGAGTTGTAATAAAGAAAAGAAAAATCAACATGTTGTTTTGCTATATCCTTTTGGAATTAGTATTTTCACTACTACTTTATATAAGTTATAGTATAAGATAGAAAAGTAGAGTTATTGAGCAATCTTAAAAATTCTATATTTTTTTTGAAGTTCATCGGTTCACAAAATATGTTTTTATTTCTTACAGTCAATAAAAATAATTTATCAGATATGGAGCAAGTTTAAAGTATTATGTGAAAGTTTGCACTTCTAGGATTACGATTAGGCATTATCTGACGTGTGCTTTACATATTTCAACTGTAATACTAATACTTCTAACTCAAAATGCTACAGTTTAAATAATACGACATAACCTCAAAAACATATTACACAATTACTCGATACTCCCAGCTTTTAAAAACATATTTAATGTCTTTCTTTGTTCTAGTTGCATAGGCAAACAAAATAACATATGTTTCATCAAGTTACGTTTTATTCGATTTTACTAGTCCAAGCATGTTAGGCAGATGATTGTTCTTTAGGTATCGCAACTTCATATTGAGTTTGAAGCCTGATTTTTGTAAAACTACGAAACTGCCTGCCAAGACATAAGAAATATAAGGCGATACAACCCTGATTTCGATCAAGGGAACTTGCAGCCATTTGGAGGTCCCCAGGACAAGAGACCTGATGCTGACCCTCCGGCCCCCCTTAGTCCGCCACTGGTCTTAGGTTATACTTTATGCGCTAGACATTTGTTTATTTGAATTTAATCTGCTTAAGGATAGTGCATGTTTTGAAGGAAGATAAAAGAAACAATTGTATGTAGAGGGGTATCGTGAAACGAGTCTAATGTCGAAAATTGTTTTTTTTTTGTTAAATCAGGATGTGGTATTAATAAAGCCTTCAGGTGAAAACCTGAAGGCTTTTCCTTTTTTTTTTGAAAACTTCATAAATACTTGCTTAAAGAATAGCTACGATAGCTGGATGTCATTCTTCACCAATATAACGCATTAAATAACAAAAGTGTATTTATCCTTACCTTGAATCAGACTATTTTGTATCTATCTCTGTCCGATAATATTTGTTTTTTTTAAAGAAGACAGATAGAGGCAGTAGTTTCGTGAGCTTCCGACGAAGAAGTATTTTAAAATAGTAGTTATTTTCCCGTGACTTCGCTCGCGTAATTTAACCTATGTTCAACGTGTATGATGTAGCTTCCCGTTAGTGAGAAGAATTTTAAAAGTCTATTAAATGGTTTTCAGAGTTTACTCAATGCAAACAAACAAATAATCAAAACTTTCCATTTTATAATATTACTTATATACTCGTTAGATATGTTCTTGATTATCTTTTTGCAGGTCAATTCTATTACGTAACTATTTAACGATTTTACCATTGTTCTATATACTTAAAGTCCAATATTATGATCGTTTCGAAAACTAAATAAATTTGAAATTATGAAAATTACAATTTTTATCATGCTGCGATAGAAAAACCGGATATTTGTTTTGTGACTTGATCCACTTTAAATCACAACGAGGGACGATTTATGGAAGTAATAATAATAATAGTTTATTTATTTACTTTATAATAGTTATTTATACAAAGACAGACATAATTTAACGTAATTCAGTACATTATAATAAGCATGCACAAGTGCCAACACTAGGAAATCCTTCCTAAGTTATTATGCAATATAAACAAAGACAAAATTAACGGTATATAAAAAAGATATTAAATTATGAGTATTATGTGACAGCTAAAACCATACCATTATAGCCTATTTTGTAATTATTAGAAGCAATTATGTCATTTTATAATCAAGTGAAAGCTAGTAATAAGTTACCTTGCTTTACATTGCCTGTCATTATGTGCATATGTGTCTAGTTTTCTATTTATTTTTTTATAAATGATGCAGGAGATGAAATTTTGCTGTCGTTTCGCAAAAGCCAAATTCATTTTACAGCTTTATAAACTACATCATTCCTTTGTATAGAGCTTTACAACGTTTTATCAAATGGCGTGCCTGCTTATTAACGATTAGTTTTAGAATAAACAACTGTCTTACTGTCGGGATCTTGTAATCAGAGAACAGTGTAGTTGTGGGAAATCTAAAAAGTTTGAATAAAGTTACTTTAATTAGGAATCTCTGAGCTCTCTCCAAATGAATCATCAATGATTTGCAAGCCCCACCCCATATCCTACTACAATATATGAATGAGGATTGGACTAATGCAAAACATACTGCAAGCAGAAGAGTTTTGTCAGCAACATGTCTTAGTTTTTTGTTTTTTTGTAAATTTATATTAAAAAATATTAACGCCAGCTTAGATTTACATCGACATATATTCCCGAGGTACTTGGTTAAGTAACATTTATTTAATTCATAGCAGCTACATATATTTTTACAATTATCATTAAGGAGACAACACGTGTGGGCTCTCAGGTTATAGGTAGCCAGTAAATTTGTTATTAGTTATATTAAGTTGTACATACGTGGTTTTAGTGAGGTTGAGAGTAAGCATATTAGACTTAAGCTAACAAGTCACTCTATGGAGACCTTTCTCTGCCGCATTATACGTCTGTGTCCAAGTTCTTCCATGAAAAATCAACGCTGTGTCATCTACATAAGCAAAAATATTTCCATTCTCTTACTTCTTCGATTATAATATCAAACAGGCGCTGGTTTTGTAGAATAAAGCGATACAGACCATGGTCCGTAGTCCTCAATGGGAATCGTGCAAGTGTTACTTCGCCAAGCTGGTGATACTTACAGTGTATTCTCTTTATTTTATCAAGTGGCAAGACGAGTATGAAACTCTATAACAAAGAGTGCGGTGACTAAAAACGCGGCGAAAAGACTTTCCTTTAACCATGGTTCCTAAATTTAGGGCTGTTAAGCACAATTTTAGAGACCAATTAGAATGTATAATTGTCTTTCTAACCACTTAAAATCCATATAAGATTAAAAAAAACTTCAAAAAACAATTGAAGTTCTTCTTGTTACGGAAAAAATTCTATCATATTGATGAATTTATTGGACATTAAAGACTGGATATACATAATTTTAGAAATTATAGGAACTTAATTATTTTCATTGTTTATAATTTATTGACGGTCTGATATTATTAGTAATATATATTACAGATATATTTTATTTTCATTTTAATCCGTTTTATTTATAAAATTGACATCAATACATGATTTTTTTTAATGTTATAAATTCGAATAAGACTTTATTATTGTTTGATTTTAATTACTTGTATATACAATCATGAATTTATAACTATCTATGTTTTGAAATTATATATCACTATTACGATTAAGTATCTATGTTAATTAATCGTATATAAATGAAATGTACCGATAAAATAATATACCGACACAATATTATTATTGTTTGTGACTGAATAAATGAAAAATGAAATAATATTACTACCTCGAAAACAGTCAAATCTCAATCCAGTGCATTAGTAATGCAATTTACTCAACCGTATTAAGTGATCTTTGACATGTCATAACTTTAACAGTTATTAGTTTTGACATAATACATTTAAAAAACCATGTACGGTAATTTAGTGTTGCCCTGTGTCATGAAATGGCAAATGGCCAAAAACGGAGCAGTGGCCTAATCCAGGTCTTCTGCTCTACACGAAGAACAATCTAAGTGACGTATAAAACTTTTTTTAAAATAATTTTTTACTATGTTATAACAGGGCAGCGAGGTGTCCCCATACGGCCCACTTTGGGACGCGCCGCCGGCACCCGTGCCTTACCCGGACATCCTGGCATTCCCACCAGCCGATCTCGGTAAGATTTTTTTATTAATACCCTTAAAATATTTACATGTACCTACATATGTGCCTGTGAAGCTGGTGTATTTATTTAATACTAGCTGACCCGATAGACGATGTTCTGTCTTAAACAATGACGTTTCATTTACAGAATTCACAGAATTCAATTATGAATATTAAATCATGAAAATCGAATATAAGCCTCTGATGCATCATAACCATCCATTTTAATTCATGCATTATTAAAATTATGAGATTAATTTGAAGTGTTCCGAATTTTATTCGAGTATACTCGAATAAAATTTATAAATAGAGGCCCTGTGTCATGTCAATTCGTGCAAGTTATAGAATTGACCCCGTAGAAAGTTTCTCGAGATGTCATTCGTTTTGGAGTGGAAAAAGGACATTGATGTAACTTACTCCTGGCCGACGTTGGTAATTTCTCTCATAAGTGCCAATTCAGAGGTTTACTATGAATATGATATGTATGATGAGACTGCAGATGCAGCTAGATCAACACCTTAACGCTACTTAGGTACTTATAAAGTAGGCAGAAGCTCAAGATAATAAAGTTTTGGCCACCCAACCTAAGACGGGCACTTGCGAAAACAGCTTAATACTTAACGCTAATCCATCCGCGTTATGGGTTATTGCTCGTTCTTTCTATTTTTTATACCATCCAAGGTGAGACCTGTCTCGTTCACGGATAAGCTTATGCCAAAAAACTGACTGAACATCTTATATTAAAAAACTGAATGAGCATCGCATCATCTGATTATTATAATTTGTACGATTGCAGAGTCTAGAATTTTACATTTGGTCCTTCAAGCCGGATACTAATCAGCCACCCAACTTTAAGGACCAGACTAAATTTAGAATCATTGGCCATACACTGTTGTTAAGAATGTTAACGCTAATTGGTTAAAAGAATGACATGTTTATTGCATCTGATTTTTAATTGTCACTAATAAATTAATTAAAACATTATGTTACATCAGTGTAATTTGAATACAAGGTTATGTCGGAGCTGACTCCTACATTCATCATTCTTCAAATTATTTGCTTTTTTAAAACTTTGATTATATGTATGTTATACAGTATGGTCGGCAGCCGGTTGCGGCGGGCGCGCCGGCTCGCGCGCTCCCCCTGGCGGCAAGAAGCCGCGCCGCCGCGTCGCGTCCGTTGCGCAACGTCGCGCAGCAAACATACGTGAGCGGCGGCGTATGTTCAATCTGAACGAAGCATTCGATAAGCTCCGGAGAAAGGTACAGAAGATTTCAAACTCCTTCCATTTATTATTTTATTATTAGATTAGGAGGCTTACTCTTGAACGCAATCTCAATGTCAATTTGAATTCTATCCATTGACGATCTCAATTTTCGAATATTTAATCAGACGTCTTATATTAGTGAATTTAAATTTTAACATATTTACTTTAAAGATTACTTAATGAAAAATTGCATCAATGAAAAATATTTGAACATGATCTCTCATCAGAAAAACGCTAACGCGATTTCCCTTTTGATGAAATGCTAATCGCTTATTCTCGAAACCACGAATTCTTAGAAACCTGTATAAAAGATCAATCAATAAATGTAATTCTTTATATCTGAAAAAGCTTAAGTTTCTTTACTATTGCGCCGAGAGTCGTGGGTTCGATCCCCACCCAGGACAAACATTTTTGCGATTAACAAGTATGTCTGTTCTGTGTCTGGGTGTTTTCTATTTATAATATGTATATTTTTATGTATATGTCGCAGTAAGATAGATAAAGCCGTAATATAGTTATATCCCTAGGGATATAATTATATACCGTAACATAGTTATACGGAAGCGATTCATTACTATATCACTAGGTATATAGTTATAAAGCAGTCCAAGTTTAGTGATATACTTATATTACTAGATTTAGTTTAGTGTTATAAATAATTTACTTGATTAAGCTTAGTGAAATAGAAATCTACCATATATAATTAAATAAAACAATATTATATTGGTTTTATCCTTAATTAAAAATCAACTTTATGTATCCTGCAGTTAGTTACAATACTTTGTGACATTAACGTGTATTAAAGTAATTTCAATTATAATTAAAACGATCATATTTTTTGGAATTTAAACAACAATAACAATTCAATTAAAACTATGTAATCAAACATTAAATATTTTATAGCTAATGAACAGTTTTGAAATATCTTTATTTCTTATCAAATAAGTTGAGATCTTGGTTTCTTTATCATCATCATCATCACCAGCCCTTTTACGGCCCCACTGCAGGGGCTCAGGCCTTCCTTATGGATGGTTAAGGAGGATGGGCCACGACCCTACACGCTGCAAATGCAGCCGGGACCAATGGCTTAACGTGCCTTCCGAAGCACGGAGTAGCTCGAGTTAATAATTTGTAACGACAACGATCGCGGGCCGCGGCGCTTATCCACTACGCCATTTTTTGTGCGGCTTTTCTTAAGCTTTCGGCAGCTATTTCACTAAACTAAATCTAGTAAATAAGTATATCACTCAACTTGGACCGCTTTATAACTATATACCTAGTGATATAGTAATGAATCGCTTCCGTATAACTATGTTACGGTATATAATTATATCCCTAGGGATATAACTATATTACGGCTTTATCTATCTTACTGCGACATATATATTCCCCCCGTTGTTTCTGATATCCGTAACAAAAGTGCCTAAGCTACTTTACCTCGGAATCGGAACAATGTGTGTGATGTTGTCCGATATTTATTTATTTATTTGATCAGGTACCAACTTTTGCCTACGAGAAGCGTCTATCCCGTATCGAGACACTTCGGCTCGCCATCACCTACATCAGCTTCATGTGTGAACTGCTGCATGGGTCACCGCCACCTCATCCTGGGGCACACCACGCATTGCATCCACCGCGACATGTATTTGACGCCGAAGTACCTTGGTGCGCTTAGGGATCACGATGACACAATGACATCATAACTTTAAAATTAAACGAATAATTATAAAGAAGTCCGCCCACTTAGATTTTTTAGTGGGTTTTGATAACTAATGTCAAAAAAGAACTATTTTTGTGTTGATGAAAAATGTATCCAACTACGTCGACGAAAAGACTATTATGGTGTAAACACTTTGGCTGTTCAACTTGAGCATCACAACGGCTATCAGATTCACATGCCGATGGTAGGCTAGTCTAAGGCAGAATAACTGATATAATATCGGAATAATAATATCGGGCGGATGACCCGGTTTTGGCCATTTTAAGATTATGACCTGATTTTAGGAAGTGAACTTTGACACATTACAGTTGGCGCCGCTATTACTTTTACCATAATGCAAACTTTTAAAAACCATTCCAAAAAAGTGATAGATTTGCTCATGTGTTAGTTAGAACACCTTGAAGTCTCAATTGGTCAAAACGGGGCAGTGACAAAAACTTTGTATTTTGCCCTACTTACTGTACATTCTGCAGTGCAATTCAAAGATCAGCCTCCTATAATCAGCCTCCTATAATTTTTACTTTTGATAATTGTCATCTTATTATCTACTGAATATTATTAGTTACACCTGGCAATACTTCGTTATCGGTGAAACTGTCGTATAATAAGAATAAGTAGCATGTAAATTCACTCGTGAAAAAATACCACGTGATGTAAACTTTCTAGTCGATGCAACGTTTTCTAGGATAGAATATATTTTGTATATAAAAATGTCTTTGTCTTCCATTAGCTGTAGTTATAATACTAAAACTGTATATATGCCATCATTAAGTTCAGTAACAAAAATAATCGTCCTGTTTTTTGGAATGTTGAATATATATTTTTTACTCTGTTTTCATTCGATCCATGTAGTTTTTTTTAAGTTATTGGTTTCCGCCTGGGAGTAAAACTATTTTGCATGCTTCGAAAGAATGGCAATGTAGAGACGGTTAAATATATCGTAACCTATTCGATTTTCTTATCGCTAAAGTTGTAGTCTTCATCTTGTTTTTAAATGTCAAAATACAAAACTTGTGATGTCGATTTTACATTATGAAATTAGTGTCATGCATTGTCATGTCATCAATCGTTTCACGAAAATATTTCAGCACATGTGAAACTAGTTAATAGCGTGAAATCAAAACTCTATCTCTGAGACACTGGCTCAATCACCATAGACTCTTTACTATGAGTAGATGGTGTCGCTATATAAGATTCGCGCGTGTAAATCAAGGTGAAATTAGTTTCATGATAAGTACTTAAAAAATACGCGCACGCATGAAACTGCTCTAGTGTTATATAACTACTAACTGGACATTTACACATTAAACTGCATTGATACTAATATTTTGCCACTAGTATAATAATGTAAATTTGACTTAAAATTTTGTTTGTTTAAAAACGATGCCATATAATAAATTAGTCATAGTTTAAATATTTATTATGTAAAAATATATTAATGAGTTAATTCCATTAACAAAGTCGTCAAACAGCATTATGATTCAGCGGTTACTAATGAGGAATTTTGATTGGATCATTTATTATTAAACATGTTTATTGTTATTAACTTATAAACAATACCTTATCAGTGAACGAAATATAAAGTTACATAATTTAGCAAATTGCTTCGTAGTCACATACGATATAATTTATCACAAAGGATTATGAAAAGATTTGTCAATTTTAATATTTTATTTATTTCGTTTTGCCGACAAAGAAGATCTTTGTAAAACTAATGCGAATATATGTAACTGGGAGTTAACATAATGAACTACACTGAACCCATAGAATAATGTATATTTTCAGAGCCTTTAGTGGCGACTACATTACATCTCGAGTGTGATTTTTGCGGCAAATTGTTAATTTTGGCGTTCTTGATCTCGTAATCAAAAAAAGTGAATGGTGCAGAAATAACCTTTGGCATAGTTCGTAGCGGCTTCGTTGCTGTCAATTGTGCATAACTTTATAATTAAACCCAAAATTACAAAGAAAGATTTTGGCACTATTCCAAAGCGCGATGGCATTTTTTGAGTTCCTGGATAAAGCAACTGGTTTACTAAACAAATGAATTGGAAAAAACACTGGTTTACTAAACAAATGAATTGGAAAAAACATGATATTATCTCTTATATAGTCGTCGTATAGCCAACTATAACTATATATTTCAAAAATTCGTGATTTCTACAAATAGCAACCACGAAATTTTGGAATATTATTGATTAATAGAAAAATAAAATCTTATTATAAACCAAAAAACTTCGAAAATTGCTTTAAGTTAACAATGAATTTATTTTGTCTACGATAATATTGTAGACTAAATTCGAACCAGAATATCTTGTATTAAGCTTTCATGATCACTAAAAAAAAAACATATTTTTAAGCCCAATGTAAGCCCTATTTCATAAATTCAAAATACTATTCTCCGGCCGGTTTCTTCAGCTGTGTAGCGAGTTTGTTTGTAATTGTAATAGACCTCTTAAAAAACGCGTGCAAATTAATGTTTAATGGTTATAAGTTAAGTTGTATGTTGTATATAAAATGTAAAATAAATTATTTGAAAAGAATACAGCAGTATCATTTGATTTCGCTAATCTCCGCCTCCAATAGGATTGATATCTAGTGAAACTAAATAAAAAAATAATGTCTTATAAACATTGATGTTGTGCGAAGAATTAGAAATAATTAAAGCAAAAAATTAAAGTCTAATATAAAGTTCTTGTCACAGTTACTAAAAAAAAAAACTTTCATAGTAGGCAGTTTCGTATTTTGTATTAAGAATAGTTTCGTATAAGTATCTTATTAAAAAACTGATTTTATATAGTTCGTTCGAGTATATTTTAAAAGCAGTCCATCCATAAAAACTGAACTATACCAGGATTTTAATCCTTCGGAGCAGGAGACATGACGGAGATGGCATGAGAGACGGAGCAGAGAAATGAATGATCAGTTTTATAATAACGGTAAAAACTAAATGTTTTTTTAGATTCGCAGTAGTAGAGTAAAATAAGTTTTATTTATTTAAAACTTTATATCTGATAATTTTTTAAATAAAGATAATTACAAAACAAATAAAATATTGTATAACCTATTGTACGTACAATAGCTAACAGGCGATTCTTTCAAGCAATCTATTAATTGAGAAAACACTCATGTATGAAATAATAGAGGGTTGGACGTAAAGTCAAGTGTAATGTAAAATAATACACATGTTTATAACATAGAAGTAATAATTTCAATGGTCTAAAAATTTCATGGTTATTTTAATAAAGGTCGTAACAGAAATCTACATCAAATCTACAAACATTACTGACTTCATTTTTATTTTATTGTAAGAACGCTAAAAACGGGATTTCTGCATAAAGTATTTTTTGTACCTACACTTTAAATTATCAATGGCATTTGTAAATAACTTAAAATTTCCTAATAACGAATGAATGGATGGCAAACTATTTTGTCTTAATGATAGTGATTCGTAATTGTTCCTGGACTTTCTCCTACTAACTACTGGTATAAATAGTTGGGGTCAATCGAGTATCGGTTAGTGTGATTTTGGCGACATGATAGTAAAAAGTGTAATCGTTAAAATTTGAAAAAGAGTGATCGTCAACTTCAAAAAAATAATATATAAAAAGTAATAGAAATTTATTGTAATAATTTATAGTGAAATTTTGAAAAGTTTCCCGGTGATATTTTTATCATGAGATTTATAATTTATGTAAGTACCATTTGGTTTATCTTTTACTATTAGGCCATATTATTTACTCGTAGTTATTAAACGGTTCAGAGTTCGTGGGGAACTGAAAATCATAAAAGTACATAACTTTAATTAGGTTTGATCTATTCATCATCAGCTTTTTTACGACCCCATAGCAGGGGGCTCCGGCTTTCTTTATGAATGGTTAAGGAGGGTGGGCCATGACCCCCAAAGTTCATCCGGATTGGAGGGTACTAACTACTGCAGACGCAGCTGGGACCAATGGCTTAACGTAGTTTCCGAAGCACGCGGTAGTTTGAAATAATAATTTTTTGGTCACCCATCCTGTGACCGACCTTTGCGAAAGTTGCTTAACAACAACTACCGCGGGCCTTGGCGCTTATCCACTATGCCACCGAACTACTCAATGAACTATTGTTATCGGTAAATTCTATGTGATAAGAACATAAAAGTGTTTGGATAGAGAAAAAGTTCGGTTTGATAACTTAGGACTTTGGATGAAAATGCTTAAAAAATTAATTTTGTCCCTGGAGTTTTAAGTATTTCTTAGTAAGAATATTTGTCAGTATAGCATTGTGAATACAACTTGATCAAATATAATAAACGGTATCTAATAATTTAAAAAAATAACAAGAGTAAATAACCAGCAAAAGAATTTATGTAGAGTTAAAATGGCGAATACCACTCTAGCAAAATGAAGTTATCCAGGATTCTGTATACTTTTATTCATTCTGTTAGTTCGTTATTAATATATAATATTATCTGACAAAAAAATGACTATCATGGTATTTCAGATTTATTTGGGTGTACTGACTTTAATCTAGTTTTTCAGAAAATTTATTTAATGTTTCTAATATCAGAAAATACTCATATTAACATAATGTAGCCAATTATATTTCTTTATAATTTTCAACACACTAAAACGCTTAATCCGAATAACGAACAGAATTTGAAAAATACATAAATGTTGTCTTAAGATCTTTTTTATATGATGATATATGCTGTACATTTCTTAATTAAAAAAAAAAGTAACAGTTATCATTTTATGTAATGAATTAGATTTAAACATTATAATGTTTTATTAAATTACGTAACGCACTCGCAAAGGAGTTAACATACATTAACCATTTAATTAGCTAGAGTGTTTCGTCACTAGATTCGTGATTTCATACATAATATAATCTAAGTATTCTTAATTTAAAACTGAATACTTACCACAATATTCCTAAAAAGAAGAGGTTCGGTATCAAAATTATTAGAAATTTAATTTGTGCTTTATACTAATTGTATTACAAATCGTCAATTTTCTAATTGGGGTATCGATTGATCTTATTTTAGATTAATGTTTACATGTTTATTATAAAGGTTAGGCACCTTTTTAACTTAGAACCAGTATACTTTGTAATATATCTTACCTATTCGAAAATTGAATCTAATCACTAATTACAATAAATAAAAATAAGCCCATTGTTAATTAACTTGCATTTTCTTCTTTGCAGTGTATTTTATTGGCAGTCTTAACAACAGTTACGCCAGCTTTGAAAGATGAATCCAGACCGAAGAGGGACATCGCGTTAATTAAGAATTTCATCATGAGAAAACTATTTCACGGCGGTGAAGTACAGAACACTGTGTCTCAACCAAACTATAGACTGTTTAGAATTCCCGGTTTTGATAATATATTAGTAAAGGCTATTCCTAAAGGCAATATTGCTGCAAACGCATCGTCTGTAATTGAATCGGATATAGAAGAGCATCCATCAATAGCGTTAGTCAAGTCCTATTTAGGTACCAAGTCGCTCGGTGAAACTCTTTCAGCATTGGAAGGTACGAAAACTTTACTTCAATCAGGAATATTAAAAGCTCGAGAGGCAACCGACGTTTCATATAATACATATCGTGTACCAGTAAATATATCACCAACTTTAACTGAAACATTTGAAGTAATTGACCTGGATGATGAACAATCAGATTGCAAAGTTCCATCATTACAACAACGTGTGCCCATACCTTACGCATCAACATTAGGAAATATGTATAAGCCTGCAAGGATTCCTATACCAGATTTGGCGTATCCAACAAAGTATTCGTATAAACAAATACATGGCGATGGCGTTACTAGTTACACATCTAAAGATAATAAGAATGTTATAGTTACTGAAAGTAAGAATCCGGTACATTTACCTGGTTATTTAAGAAGTAGATTGCAGGAAGTTCTCTCAACGGGTCCTATACCTCTAAATGCAGTGCATTATATGCATTCTTTCAAACCACCAGTTTACAATATTCCGGTTAAACATTTACATCAAGATGGTTCAGTCACTACATATTCTGGATCGAGTTCATTAGAAGAGAGTCAAAATCAAAAAGAATCTTTGACAGGACAAGCTATGAGTTATCAATCTTCTGTATCGTTTAATCCCTATGATCCATCGAAATTAATAGTGTCTCCTCATATGCCCCTACAGTCTGCGTTTGTACCAACTGATTATTATTATAAACAAATGCACGAAAATGGTTCGGTTACTACATACTCTGGATCAGATGCAGTTGAAAAGAGAAAAAATCAAAACCCATTTTTGACAGGTCAGGCCATGAGTTATCAATCTTCACTGTCATTTAATCCCTATGACACACCAAAATTAATGGGTACTTCTCATATACCCATGCAGCCTGCAATTGTACCAACTGATTATTCTTATAAGCATTTACACAAAGATGGTTCGATCACTACATACTCTGAATCAGGTGCTGTAGAAGAGCCAAAAAATCAAAACCAGTTTTTGACCGGTCAGGCCATGAGTTATCAATCTTCAGTGATGTTTAATCCCCATGATCCACCAAAAATAAAGGGTGATTCTCATATACCCACGCATCCTGTATTTGTACCAAATGATTATTCTTATAAACATTTACACAAAGATGGTTCAGTAACTACATACTCTGGAGGAGGTGCAGTAGAAGACATTAAGAGTCAAAAAGAATCTTTGCCTGTACAGGCCTCGAGTTATCAATCATCACTGTTGTATAATCCCTATGACGCACCAAAATCAATAGTTGCTCCTCATGTACTAACTGATTATTCTTATAATCATTTACACAAAGATGGTTCGGTCATTACATACCCTGTATTAGGGGAAGTAGAAAAGAGTAAGAACCAAAAAGATTCTTTTCCAGTTCAGGCAATGACTTATCAATCATCACTATTGTATAATCCCTATGTCCCACCCAATTTAATAGTTGCTCCTCATTTGCCCATCCAGTCTGCACTTGTACCAACTGATTATTCTTACAAACATTTACATCAAAACGGTTCAGTCACTACATATTCAGGATCAGGTGCAGTAGAAGAAAGTAAGAATCCGAAGTCAGTTAGTTACCAATCTTCACTATTGTTCAATCACCCAGACACGCCAAAATTAATAGTTGATCCACACATACCTGCGCAGCCCGAATTTGTACCAACTGATTATTCTTACAAACATTTACACCAAGATGGTTCGGTTACCACATATTCTGGATCAGGTGACGTAGAAGAGAGTAAGAATCAAAAGTCATCTTTTCCAGTTCAGCCCTTTAGTCATCAACCTTCGTCAGTGGTTAATATTCATGAACCACACAAATTAATAGTCGCTCCTCATGTACCTGTGCAACCAGTATTTGTTCCTATTGATGACGCTAGACCAGGAAATAAACCCGCTATTCATGTTACAAGTTTTGAAACTTCACCATTTGTCAATATTTATGATGCACCTTATGTTACAACAAATACCAGTAATTATATGTCACCAAAAGTCTCGGCGAAACCTACTGATTATTCATATAAACATGTGCATAATGATGGTGTTGTAACGATATATAATGGCGCGGATGTGGTTGAAAATAGTAATGGTAAACCTTATGTAATAGTGAATGAGGTCAGGAGACCTATTCCCTTACCAAGTTTTCCTGCAAATGTTCCAGAAGCAATATATAGAGATACTTCACCAATGGTGGTTGAAAAGGCAGTATATGGTCCACCTTTACCGGTATATAAGGAACAATATCCAATTTTATTCGAACATATACCAGGGCCTAATGCGAATCCATTAAATCCGTTTTCGAGCGACGAAATAAAAAAAGAATATAACAGTAATAGCCCATTAGAACATTTTTATCAAAAAATTCATAAGGGTGATACTTCTGTTAATTTTGAGTCTGGTTTCCATACCAATGAGAGTGATGAAGAAAAAGCAACTGAGACTATGAAAGATAATCATCAAAGCGATCACTATAATTCTGTCTATTTAACCAGCCGCAACGCGATTGATAAAGTTTTGAATAATAGTCAAAACAATACTCAGGTAAAGGATGATTCTTCCCAAACAGGTGTATTTTCTTACACAACTGTACACAGTGATGGATCAAAGACACCTTATTTCGACTCTGGAAAAGAAGAAGAGGACAAAACTGAGGATATTAAAAAATCACCGGCGTCAGAAAAAAAACCTCTTTCAGTCATAATTAATCGTGAATCAGATAAATCGCAAGAAGTGTCTTCCCGCAAGCCTGTTCGCAAATATCGGAAACGTGTTAATCATCGCACGACACGTCGCCCAACAACAATCGGAAGTGAAGATGCAAATAAAAAGTATGCACCACTGAATGAGAAGGAGGACATAACAAATAACAATCATATTATATCAGTTAATAAAAAATCTGAAAGTAGTATAGTTTCTAAAAAAAGGGTTAATAAATTTTCGACAATAAAACCATCTATGTCAACATCTACTGAATTAGAACCAGAAAAGTCCGTCACTAGAGTTTCATTCAAACAAACTACAAATCATGGAGTTCATACTAACAAAAATGGAGCTGTTGATATTAAAACTGAAACGCCATTATCATATAATAAAGATAGCTCAGATGTCTTTACAGATTACTATACGACAGATGCCACCCTGTCATCCAGTGATATTTCATTAAATACCAATCCAATAGTTGTGCTATCAGATGAAGAAGATTTGACTGTCATGGAAAATAAACTTTCAATTTTAGAAGAAAATGGACCTAATTTCGAATTTCATAGAGGAGATATACCTGAGTCATCTTATAGAAAGTAAAAGGTGAAATAACTTATAGACGTTACAATTAAATAAGTATTTATTGTTAGTTATTTTAAAGCTAATTTATTATAGTTAAGTTTTTAATATGTAACAGTAATTATAAATTGTATTTTGTATAGTAATAAATTTATTTCTTTTGCTACATAATTCAAGTACCTTATTTTATTTAATAGTCCTTATTCAAATCACATTTTAAACAACAACATTCAATATGATTCCTTAACTTTTTACAGGACTCTTGAAAAGAGTAATAAACGTCCATTATTTCTGCATTTAATTTTTCTATCTAAAGCCTTCATTCTTATAGTATACCATTTTATAAGAAAATTTAAAACTTCATGAACATAATATCAGAAGATAAAAAAAAAACCGGCTCTAATAATGATAACATTTTTTTTTACATGTATTTCGACATATCCCAGGTATAATACCGTAACTTAATCTTAGAGTTTCAATCAAAGATTGAAAATCTGTTTATTGTCACTAATGCAGTTCTAAATATATAAATTTGATTTCAAAATTAGCAAAAAAAAAACCATTTAGACATCTTTGGTTTGACTGCGGTATAAAGTTGACAAAATGGAATTATGATATTATCCGTAGGAGGTATCGATTTCTAAGGATGAAATCAAATAAATAGCAGTAAGTTTTACATATTTAGACAGCCCTATAGTACATTTGGATACTAGATACACATAACCTCACAGATTTTTCATTAAATTATCGTCTGCTTATGTGCTGCGAGAAACGAAAAAATGTATTTTTCAGTGAATATGATAATAATGCATTCGCACTTTTATTTACTAGTAAAAACGTATATTAATATAAAGGCTATATTCGACCGTTGTCAGAATAATCAACATGAGAAAGTAACAATTTATATAAATAATATAAACAACAATAATCTCATATGTGATAATCTAAACAATATGTATGAAAGCTAACCCAGGTTAATTGTGTTGAATTTAAATAACTATCTTTATAGGAGCTTTATACTAGGAGTGTAAGTTGAAATTTGCCGGTTTTTTCGTTACTGAAAACACATAATTTTCAGGGGAATCTCAAAATATTGTTATTCAAAGTATTGACCATTTGATTCTACACATTTCGCCCATATTTTAGGCAAATCAGGATACCATTCCAAAAATTCTTTTCTCTTTCGAGGAAAACCATTCGACGAGCCATTTTTCGACTTCTTCAAAATTGGCGAAGTGCTGTTAAGCAAGTGAGTGCATAGATGCAAAAAGGTGGAAGTTGGACGGAGCGTGGTCTGAAGAGTACGGCGGGTGCGATAAAATTTCCCAATTAAGTGTTTCTGCCAATTTTTGTTGTCATTGGGTTGGGTCTTCCTCCAACAACACCTGGAAATCCTCGTCTTCAAACCTTTTCGCTGCACCAGGATGTTTATTGTATTTTAAATTGAAATCACCACTTTTAACTTTACGAAACCATGTCTCACACGTTCTAATCACTGGAGCATGTTTACCATAAGTTTCTACTAGCAAACGATGTGCTTCAGCTGCTTTTTTCTTTTGATGAAATAAGAAAAACAACGAATGCCAAAAATGCTCTTTATTTGGAACGAAACTCGACATATATATTGATATAAACGACTATGGCGCTATTATTTTGACGGAATGAGACTTCGGTATTTTGGAAGTTAATATCCATAGAACAAAATCGTATATATGTCAAATCATAGAAATGCCTACATCCTACTAGCGACACCCACTATAAAAACCGGCAAGCTTCAATTTACACTCCTATGTATTATTTTAAAATTTAGAATGATACTTCAGGGAAAACTATAAGAAAAACATATTCATATTACTTAGATTTTTTTTCAAGTGGAGCCCGGTAAATGCGTATCCTTGCGAAAACAATTTTTTTCCACTTTTTACTTACATAGCGTAATAATTTTGCAGTTTAATATTATTTGATATTAAGCATATTTGATATTAAATTCAGTAAATATTACAAATACAGTTTTTTTTTCATTTAAAATGCAATTTCTGCTAATCAATACACCTTGAATTTATTTCGTTTTCGCAGTAAACATAAGCAGTATTTTGTCAATCTTTCTTAAAGACATTATATGTTTATGCTAATCGTGAAAAGTATAAATTATTTTGGCATATCTTTTAACACACGTAATTTTATACAATATCAGATATTGTTACTGAAATCGTATTGATATGTTTTCAGAACGTGTAGAAACAACCATTAGTCATCTCCGACATGTCTCGTATTTATTGTTACAAGATTTTTGTATTCTTATGTTACTATACATCGCAATGTTAATGTCAGTTTTCACTAATATTCATCATTAAAAGTACAATGAGGAAGTATTAAAAAAAAATAATTCCCGAAATCAAACTAGATGTCGCTATACTACGTTCTTGATTTTTCCATGACAACCTTTCCGGTTTTCTTTCAAGTTTAAAAGTAAATTAGTTTTCAAAACTCAATAAGCAACTCATTTGTACTTTTTCGTATTTGTATTGATATCTAAGTTTCGAACTTTCAAATTTTAGTTTTTTAATAAGTTAGTTAAATGGAACGGAAATGACTGTGTTTCTCCATTCGTTTCCTGCAAAAATCAACTTTTGTTAGAGTCGCCATCTAGCAGAGGTGCTTTTTTGTACTGTCGTTTTGTTTAAATACTTCCTCATTCCAAAAATTAGGTGTTGTATTATACTACAATTTTCTTTTTTCAATTCTCATTGATCAGATGATTCTTTGTTTAGTCTACAGACTGTTTTCCAGAAACAGAGATATCCGTGATCACCATGGACTACGTTACTATATGCTTTTCTCAATAGATGGCCTCAAATGCGAATAGCCAAATTAAAGCAAGACAGTATGTAGTGTAAGTCAGTATCTGAAGATATCAAAATCAGTTAATAGGTGGCATTACTCATTCATAGGACACAGTTTCGTTTCAGAATTTCTTGCATTAATATATTGTTAAATTCCTGAGATTTTCTTAGTATTTAGTGTTTTTTTTACATATTACTTATTTCAAAAAGTTTTTCTTTCAGAAAATCAGACGTACTGTGTAATATTTTAGTGATAATATTTCCTTTGAAATGGTAAATTCACGGAGTCAGATCCCGCACTGCCTCGACTAGCAGATTATAAGAAAGTCTCAAAATCCTCTGAGACTTTGCTTTCGGTTGCACAGATCAGGCCTCCGGTGAGCGCGTGTCATACAGCACTTTCCCTATGCAGTGTCAGCGTGACGTCAGGTGGTGGCGCATCCCAATGTTCCCAGGCGGATATGTCGTGTGCGGCGCGCGTATCATGCGCAGAGAGTGTAGCGTGAGCGGCGTGTGCTATGAGGGTGTTCGGCTTCCGTCTGCGATCCAGTGGCGGGGGTGGTTGTTCTTCGAGCGTGGAACCGTCTGAATAACCACTGCTGCACGATCGCAGGCTGCATGACGCACGCACTTTGTTATCTGAAAACGAAAGAAAAATGATGAAAAATGGCTCATTTACACATAAAAAACTGAAAGTGAAACTGCTCCATTTTAGTTAATATCATAGTCTAATTTGCGACCCTTGGTTTTCAGATGAACCAGGAATAAAACATAAATTGCAGCAAATGTAAAAGAAGTATTTATTTAAGTTTTAGTTAAGTTATGATGTAGATAGATAAATGTAGAGAAAGAGTACGCTGTTTGTATTATAAAACGAAATACTATTTAAATATTAAAATAATAGATACACACTGAAATTTCTATATTTATGTTAATTAAAATATTTTTGACGCAGTTTTATTACATACCTATTCTGTTTAAATGTAGTGTGCTATACATAACGCAAATCTTTATTATTTTTAAACAACTCTATTGGTAGGGAGGGAATTCAATTGAATTGGAAAAAGATAATTTCATAAAGTTTCTGTCTCGTTTTTTTTTAAATATCTTCATTATTTTTAGATTGTTCTTACCAGCGATATTGTCGATGTAGTTCCTGGTGACGTCATCGAGCTGTAACACCTGTATGACGGGCGTGGGAGTCTTGGAGCGAGGGCGTCGCACCAATTTTACCACCAGCGCGGTGGAGATGAGGAACACGCACACCAGCACCACAGCACCCACAGATATACCCACGTCCTTGTCCATTACGACTGGAAAGAATAGTAGGAAGAGGAGAATTTAGTTTTAAAAGCGAATTAATCAATATAAAATATGTAAAGAATCTAAATCATCTAAAAAGAAAATTATTTTTAAAATTATGCGTTATGCTACCCTTCAATATTTGTTTTGTTTTATCAATTAAAAAGAAAGTAAATTTCTGTCTTTACAAAAACGTAACATTTACAATACATGAGGTAATACGGTCTTTCACTACAATTTCAAAATTCATTCAATTTAAATTATTATAATTAGGAATTTTAATTACTGCACTGGCCGTTCTCAGGTATTGTTTATGAAAAAAACAACAGAGACTACTTTAATTAGTCTCGTTATGATTTGAAAGAAGGAAAACAAATATTCAGTAAGTCCAAACTTATAAGCAACGAATAAGACAGAATAATAGATTACAATTTATAATGAGGCTAGTTTCCATTACAATAAATTATAAATTTAACGCATTAAGTATCCGTCTCACTGATACTTCACGAGATGCAAAGCGTATGGACATTGGTGGAATGAATCATTATAATTTGCCGCGCTTCGAAATTATTTGCAGACATCTTATTATACCCATTTTTATTATTTAAGCAAAATGTGTTACTCACAATGCCACCAAGGCGGAGAAGCAGCCAACAGCAGATTGTCGGTAGGCCGCAACAGCAAAGGGTCGGAGCAGCCGTAGCGGTTACAGGCCGCTGCTCCTGCTTCGTCTGCTGCCCGAAGCTTTCCCAATGCCCCACGTACTACCCACGCACCTACAACACTCCCCACCGTCCCCACTCCACTGATAATATCCCCTCCTTGAGCTAGCGCTTGTCGCGATCCAAATCCCATAGATCCTCGTCGCTCGAGTACTAGTGAAGAATTGGATGGGGACATCCGCCAAACAGAGAGCTCGTAGTATGTTGCGTTTTCGACTGCGAAAGATTTTTTATTTTATTTTTATTTAAAAATAAACATTCTTAAATTGATAAAATTCTTATTTATCTTTAATAGTGGAGATTATTTGTACTATGTATTTTATTGAGAAATTCTGTACTAATATTGAATAGGCTTATCAAACATCTTGACCCATTTCTAAAATTCTTTCCCCTACGGATGACCCACAGGAAGCTATATCATACATAAATGTTGTAATTTACGCGGGGGAAATCGCGGCAAAAAAGTTAGTGTTTTTATTATTTGCCACATGATATAATGAAGGTGTAACATTTCAAATGCATTTTCCTTTTTATAGATTCTTTTAGGTGTATTTTTAAGCCAATAACATTCTTTCAAAAACTAAACTGAATTAGGAAGAGTTCAAGGAAAATATTTAAGATGAGGAGTTCTGTTTGAGGTACCTGGCATACACCTGATGTGGAATTCTTCATGTTCATATGCCAAGTCGCACTGCCGCGGCTGTGGTGGTCGTAGTTGTTCCAAGCTGAAGGTACGGACACAGGGCTGGTCTTGTGAAGCTACGCCATTACTTGCTTCACACGTAACCTTTAAAGTACCTGAGGACATTGGTGAAGGGAGACAAAGTTTGGACGAGAAAATTAAACGATTGAAAAAATTCGTATATATTTTGCATTTATAATGCTACATTGATATTAATGCTGTTTAGTAAGGCTCGATGTCAAAATGGCTAATGCGCTTGGTCTGCGATAAGTTTGTTAAGCAACTTTCGCAATGGACGATCATGGGATGGGTAACCAAAAATTTATTATCTCCAACTCCTCTATACTTTGAAAGGCAATTATAATTATATGCAATAGGGTCTTGTTCGTGCATTTTTTTTTAAACAATTAATTTACCTCGACGTTTCGGCTACGTTACAGCAGCCGTGGTCACGAGGAGACTGGAGAACTGGCGGGTGTCGTCTTCTGATTTTAGTTGAGGGTAATCCGGTAGTAATGTTTTTAACCGATTTTCCACTTGATTTTATTATACGTAAAGGTAGCGACACACTGCACTTACGGTATCCGAGAATATTGTTCGTGGTTGTTTGCGATCGCGACACTTATACATTTTTATAACCGGATTCCACGTTGGTGAGAGTTTATATCCACTTTCCCGGTTGAAATTGTTGTGTTTTTTGATTTCAACTGCTTCACGGACTATTCTTGGATAGTAATGTTGTTCAGTGGAAAGGACATGAGGTGTATGTAACTCGATCCAGTGGTTTGATTCAGATGTTAATAAGTGCTCTGCAATCGCGGACTTCTCCACTTGACGATTTTTGACTGCTGCTATGTGTTCTTTTACACGTTCGGCGATAGTCCGCTTCGTTTGTCCGATATATAAACTACCGCAGCTGCAGTCAATTTTATAAACGCCAGGTTTTTGGTAAGGAATACTATCCTTTGGTGATCGCAATTGGTGTGACATTTTTGATAAAGGAGTAAAAATGGTGTCTATAGAAAAAAATTTCCTCAAAATGGTACCAATTTTATCCGTTACCCCCTTAACATAGCCTAAAAATGCACGTTGCCTGGGAACCTTAGGTAGTCTTTCCTACCTAAGGTTCCCAGTTCCAAGTTCAGTCGTTGGTTCCGGCTGCATCTGCAGTCGTTACTACCCACCAATCCGCACTGGGCTTGCATTCTCCCCATTCGATAGGCTGGTGATTATGATATTTTGCATTCGTAAGGTTATATTGATATTAGACAACAAAACATAGTGATGAACTCTAGATATAGTACATTACTTAGATAACAAACTAAGTAGCTAAGAGAAACCACAACATCGGGAACGCGATCTGATACCGATTAAACAAATAATGAATTTTTACAATGAGGAAGTATTAAAAAAAAGACATTAGTTCCCGAAACCAAATGAGGTGTCGCTATGGTATTTACTAGATTTCTCCATGACAACCCTTCCTTTATGTATTTTTCTTTCATGTTTAAATGAATTTTTGTAAATTCAATAAACAACTGTATTCTGTTTTTACTTTTTCTTATTGTTTTGATATCTAAGTTTCGAACTTTGCAAATTTTAGTGTTTTAATATGTTAGTTAAAAGGAACGGAAATTTGTCCATCCATCCTTAGTCCATTCGTTTCCTTCAAAAATCAGCTGTTAATCGCCATCTAGTGAGGTGCTTTTTAGTGCTTTCTTTGTACTTTGAATATATCTGCATTCTAAAAGTGCTGCCAGTTAAAGGATTAATAACTCAAAAACTCATGAGATGGCTGTGTGGCTTTAAGAAAAAAAGTTATTCTTATCTGTGATTGACATTGCGGCATTTATTTGTTGTTCGTTGTGACTGTCGTATTAATACATATTGTGATTAGCGAAATAAATAATTAATTGAGAGTAGGTAAGTAAAGCACTTCATAAGAGATCGTTAATAATATATCTTGTTTTTAATATAATGGATGGAAAAACACTATTTTATCTGTCTTAATAGGTTTATTTTAAATTATAAACTGATTCCAACACTATCTTTACATTTTTACCCAAGCGGTATATTGGCACGAATCTCATCTAATGTCAATGTCAAAGTCACAGTGACAGCTCACTGGCAGATAGTGATTGTATAAATAGTGACGTCCTATTTTTTTTGTTAACAATACCTACATTGTAAATACAAACATGGAAAAAATATCGATCTTATATACCTACATTTTTGTGAAACGATTCATTAGGTTAGAATTCAAATCAATTTGAAAATCGATATTTTTCGTAAATAATCGCCATCCTTACCACAACACCCCGATTCAAAAAAAGTTTGACAGTAATTGGTATTAATCGGACCCGATGAATCATAACAGTGTGATTTTATAAAGATTCCTTTTTTCGGTGTTATTCGCTTGAAAAAATGCTAGTTATTCGCTTTCCAGACTAAGCTCTGGTGATGTTGAAGCTGGAAGGTTGTCATAGGAACTTAGCAATGTAATACCGCAACTGCATCGTGTTTGGGCTCTTTAGATCCGTCTTTATGAGAACAACAACATATATAAAATTAACAGAAAAAGGCTTGTAATACATGTTATATCAAATTAATAGAATAAGACAAAAGAAAAAATAAAAATATAATAAAAAGTTTTTTAAAAACAAGATTTTATTTGTGTGCACTAAAACTTTAATAATAATTTTATGCCAGACAAAATCATAACGTTAATGTTAAAGTATTGAAAATATACTCTAACAGTAATTAAAAGTAGAGTAGTGTAACAAAATCGGAGACGAGGAAATACACATACATATACATATTTTAAGCGCCACAAGCTTTTCAAGTAATTCACTGTTAGATTATATTTTGATTATAAGTACTTTAAAATCTACGTTATAAATTGCCTTGCATAAAATTTTTATTATCGTTTTAGTGCGCGCAAATAAAAGCTTGTTTTTAAAAAAACTTTTTTCTTTATCACGTGCCCATAAAGATGAGAAGAAAATGAGATAAATTTGCGAGTTTATTCAAACGGTCTCATAAAGAAAAAAAGAACCAACATTTCTAATTACTCGTAAACCAACACGATTATTGTAAAATAGCCCGTCACATAAAAGTAATTAAAACTTTATGTGTTCTTTTTAAAAAGAAGCTACGAATTTAAATCGAATAAGTATAATTATTTTTATATATTTATTTTCTATACTAATATTTTAAAGTTTGTTTGTTAACATCAATTAGGATCCGAAATCACTATACCGATTTTAAAAACTCTTTCACCTACAGGAAGCTACATTATACGCGAGTAGCAGCTAGTTTCACTATAAAATTCAACGCCCAAGTTGTTTCATATCCTTACCCGTAATTTTTTTCCTGCTGTGAAATAGTGAAACAAAGAATAAAGCTTTATGATATTGTAACGATGCGTTATACCACCGTTTATTTTATACATACTGTTTCTAACTCGAAGAATTTTCACGAACTGACATTCATAATTGGATTACTCCAAATTTTAAATTACGAAAAGTGAATAATAAAAATAAGTGATATAGAAGATCAAAGACAAAAAAATCGCATGCGGAAACCTAGGACGAAATAAACGGTGGTACGACGCACCGTTACAACACTACTCTTGTATCTTTTGATACATGAACGGTCAGTTGCACAAACGTCCATTAAAACTGTCATCAGCTTAAAGCGACATTACCCATACAAATTTGACATACATTAGATCTTACAGGCGTCATTAAACCTCAACGGACGTTTGTGCAACTAACCTTATACTTTATACAATAAATAATTTGTGATTTTCTTTTCTCTAAACTTAATGAAAAAGTATTTGGCGATCGCGCTTTGAGGTTGGAATGGGTAATATAATGGGAGGTTACATACTAAGATACCCCGTTGTTAACAGTGTCGGCTATTTTCATACTATGAACATAGCTAGTGAGAAGACCTTCAACATGGAAGCTATTAATTATTCTTGACATGGACCTAAACTTTTGAGACAAGTATTTAATTAAATACGAAATAGTTCGACTTGACAACTATCAAATTTGTGTAGTGGCTTGCTTTAGGAAACTTTAAACTTTGAACCGGTTTGTTGAGTTAATTTGATTTACAAAAGGAATTATACCTTCAAAACAACCCCTTGTCGTTCAATCATAAATTTTTAATTCGTAATTTCGATTGAAAAATTTAATGCAAAGCAAGATCTGAAAACAGTCGCCGGCCGATTGGTCTTAAATTTTACAAAAAGCCATTTGGAGATAAATGTTCGTTGTTAGTCATCAGTTTAACTACCTCTTAACTACCGCTCATAAATCACAATCATTTTCAAGAAAGCCGTATCTGAATCGGTCTAACCGTTATATAAATAAATGAGAACACACCATCTTATTATAAAACGAGAAATAAAAATAGAGAAATAAAAATAATACTTGGTAGGGTAATACAGCTTATACCATTGGCCGCATAAAGCAAATTGACAATGACAGAAAAAAAACCTTAAGTCGAGATGCGTTTACTTATATTGGTTGAATAATAGTTTAAAACTGGTATTAAAGTTGTGGTATTAAACTGGTCATGTATAGAATCCATTCTTCGTTCCATTTAAATATAAGGAATAATTCAATTAAGTTATCGAATAAAAAGAGAATTTTGAAAATCGATCAACATTTGGAAATATTGGTCAACACTTTTCGGAAATATCGGTGAACATACATCGTCGTCCAACATATAACCTTCTTTTTGAATTTGAAGTCGATAAAAAACAGAAATCCCAGAAAATTATCCAGCAAAAAGTATTAATCCTATTAAAATGTGAAAGTATCTTTGTTTGGATGTGGTTTGGATGTATGTCCGTTAATCACGCCGAAACTACTGAATAGACTTTAATGAAATTTGGTATACAGATAGGGTATTAGCTGACTTAGATAATAGAATACTTTTTATCCCACTAAACATTTCTCTAGGGTCCACGCGGGCGAAACCGCTGGCGAAAGCTAGTTTACAATAACTTTAAGTCAAATATTTTCTTTTCCTTTATAGTTCGATAAATAACATTTCAAATAGACTGGTGGCGTAGTGGATAAGCACTGTGTCCAGCAGTCGGTGTTGTTAAGCAACTTTTGCAAGGATCGGTCGTGAGATGGGTGACCACAAAAGCGATATTTTGACCTACTCCGTGCTTTAGAAGGCAAGTTGAGTAGTTGATCACGGCTGCATTTGCAGTCGTTAATACCCTTCAATCCGTATCCGATCCGACCGATGACCATATCATTAGCTACTTTAATTATATAGAGAAACATGATAAGAGTAAAAAGTGCAATTTGTAGGTATTTCTACTTAACAAATACAAGAAACAGACTTGTGTGCTGTTTTCTACGATAATTCTAATATAACTCATTTAATTGGTAACAGGTACAAACTTTATGATTATCAAATAATATAATGTCGAGCAGTAACTGACGTTTCTTGAGTCTCATGAGTGTGTAATGTCGACAGCTGGTAGCACTCGTGGCCCATATTATTGCGATAATGTAGATGACGGAGAAATATTTTTCGGATAGGTGTTAAACATGATTTATGTGATGTGTACCTAAGTGGGAGACCAAATGTAGCTGGCATATACTAAAATATTACGTACCCCAGCGCAATATACTCGTACTATTTTAATTTATGTACATTCTGGTTAGTATGTGGTTGACAAGCACTTAAATAAAACACGATTTTAAAAAATGTTTTGTAAATCTCATTGAAAAGAAATTATAATTCAAAAAATTCCTAAGACTCCAACGAATGAAATGAATGAGAGTGTACATTTTATTCAATAATTAACTTCAGCTTCAATACCTCAATATCGAATTTAATTAAATTTATAACTTAAGTATGTAAAATAGTTTGTATCCGTGTATATAAAAACTTACACTTGCAGTATAGTAAGATTATCCTAATTGTGCGAACGGCGGTATGTATGGATAATCCTTGACATATATAGTGGCTTCATGTGCGTGTTAGGAGGTACAGCCAACTACAAATACAGTAATTTCAACAAATTAAAAATAATTAAGAACAAGTGTGATGAACTGTAACTATTGTAAATTAGTATAGATTATTGACCTGCTATGGTTGATAACATGAACTCTTAAAATTAACTTAATTAGGTAAATACATTTTTATTGAACTTATTATTCAGAATCGCTACTAGAAAAAATAAATTTTGAATTTCAGATTCACTTCTCTCAACCAAGGTTAAATATAAATACCGATTCCATGTCAAAAAAAATCTCAGTGAAGAATAATTTTCGAATACGATTGTATCCATGCAAAAGGGCGGACTAGGACTGAAGCGTCACTGTCACACAAATGAAAACTGTATTATTACAAGCTTACGCAAACGTAATGCCGCGCGCACAAATGACTTGAACTATCTATAAATGCCGTTAATAAATATAAAGGAAAGTTACATAAAGCAGATGTTTTAGATGTGATCTCTGCGGTACTTCAGAAATCACACAAACTATTACTATTTCTAATACTACAGCCTGAAATCTATTTGCGTGATTTGATTGTGATCACCGAGACAAGTCCCCGAGGATTCAGTGATTGAAGTCTCCTAATCCAACCGATCGAAAGCTTTTTAAAATCAATATCGATCACATCAACAAGAAAATTTGCAGAAATTTCTTGTTATGTCTTTCAGTTTTTTGCGTATACATAACATTATACCTTATTATTCTTTATAACAATGTAATAACGCTGTTTAGAATAGATGTTAAGTGTTAGGTTTTTGTATTTTTTGTTTAATTTTTTCGATCTTTAAACGATATTATAAAATTTAATTTATCCTGCATGAACTAGGGACCTGGCAATATTGATGAAAATTAAAAGTATAATTTGATCAATTCAGGAAGTGTGATGAAGACTGTGTCTAAAAGTATATGTATATTCAAAAGGTATAAATACACTTTCAAAGTTCTTATCGATATGTTAATATTTTTCCAATAAGCTCATATTTACCTCAATATACCTAGTGCGGTGGTTGCTTTGTAAACGGAACATAACTAATATCCAAGAAGTGTCTTACCTGATAGTGGTCCTGTGATTTGGGAGAGTGTGAGGAGTGGGGAGCCGGTGGTGAGATGTTGAAGCTCCGACCCTGTTGGTTGCACGTGCCAAAAGTAAGTGTCCGGTGTCGGCAGCGAGCGGACGTTACATTTAATTGTCTCTCTTATTAGGACCACACCGCGTTCAGCACATTCTGGTGGATCTAATGGTAAAAAAATATAAAAGGTACCTTATAATAGGTCCATTAACTATATAAAAACGCATAAATGAATTGAGAATCTCTTCCTTTATAACTGATAAAATAGCAAACCATAGCAAAGACGCTAAGGTAACCACCCCCTTTTAAGATATTAGAGTTTTACCCATAAAGCGGTGCTTGGCAAATAACTGTGTTAATCTTCATACAATTACCGCTTCACGGGTAAAGCTCTATTTGGTACGGTATACAATACACCGCTTCACGGGTAAAGCTCTATTTGCTAATTACTATTGAAAATGGTATACCGATTCTTGAGAAAGTAAATAGTGATAAGGTGTTGGATGTCAAATATACTAATATTAGATAGAGGAAAAATTTGACTGTTTCAATTATTAAAAGAAAACTAAACAGTCACTCGTAATTGTTAGCACCAAAGTATAAAATATTCAGAACTTCATTATTTATTGTTATTTAACTTTACCTTTACTTGGATCTTCACTTGGGATAAAATTGTTTAGTCTAATGCTAAAGATGTCGATAGAGACAAAACGAAAGTTAAGTTAATAAGGTCTTAAAATATTTCTTATCATTTCCAAAAATATCGTGGAAATTAACGTATAATAAGCAAATTGAAAAAGGCAAAATAACCAGTATAAAATTCTTATCATAAAGAATCATCGAGGTCATTAACCCTAAACTTATCTGGAGGGATTAATCAACAGCATACTTTGCTGTTGATTACGGAGTAATTTATTTTCATTCATTGGTAGCCGACATCGGGAACGTGAACCGTTTTTACCTAAGCTATTAGTTCATCAGACCGGAGAAAAGGCTGCGATCGAGTAATTCAAATTATAGTGTTGCAAGCATCGATCATTTATAGGTATCGATATAAGTGCAATTAAATACATTATAGTTTCTATGCAAATTAAAATTTCAAGCTTTAGTCATATTTAAAAAAAATATGATAGATACAATTTTTGTTTTTGTTTAGGAAGCTAATATGCGGTCAATAACCAAAATAAATAAAATACTTTAGTCTTAAATGATATTTTGTGTTTATAATACTGACAAAAAATTCCTCATCAATGACAAATTTCGAAATTTTATGATGGGTAATAATAATGTATCTTATTACAATAACGAATAAAAACATTATCAATTTGTGTTTTCAAAACATATTTTTCGTGAGACATTTTAAAATTATATTCAACAAATATAGTCGATATAATTGTTAATATTAAGCATCACTAATTTAGATTGAGGACTGCGATCTATGAAAAATAGTGGTTTATTGGAGTGTATACTACAATACAGATAGATAATCAATTATCTCTGAATTGGCCTTTCTGCGATATATTTACGTGTTTTTTTTTTTTTTTAGATATTTTGAGCGTCTTTTATTTGTTAAATTTAGTTTACTAAACTTAAAGCTTCACCAAACAGTAATTTATATATTAAATATAAACCAAGAGCTTGTATTTTGTTTAATAGTAATATTAATTATTTTTGTATACTAGGTCTCTGTAATGACGACGTGGTTACAGTCTTCGTAAACATCAAAGACGGAAGTGGGCGGGTAATACTATGCTCAACTTATCTAGATGGAGAAAGAAATAACCTAACTGAAGAGCTAGCGAAAGTGGTTGAATATGCAAACGACTACGCTGAACTTCTCATCGGATGCGATGCAAACGCACACCACACCAATTGGGGCAGTTCTGACATTAATGCAAGGGAGTTAACTACATGACTTTAACCAACCGCCTTCAAATAGTTAACGGAAACAGGAAGTCAAATACCTGGGCGTCACATTCGATCAGAAACTCACGTGACGCACCATATAAACAACATAGGCATAATCCAAAAGGCAAAAACAGCCCTAGGTATATGCTGTCGACTAACTAAGGGAAAAATGGGGAATAAATCCCAAAAAGCCCATATGGATGTACACCGCCATTGAAAAGCCAACGGTGACATATGCCAGCGTCATATGGTGGAAGAAAGCCACACAAGCTACAGAGTAATTACCAAACTAAATAGCTTGCAAAGAACAGCATGCCTCATGGCAACCGGTGCGATGTCTACCACACTAGGATCCGATCTGAATGCCCTGCTTAACTTACCGCCTCTGCATTTATTTATAATGAAAGAACAAACCTCTAGCAATGACCACAGATGTCATGACTCCGCTATGTAACTTTAAAAAAAATTACTCAGTAGAAACACCGAGCAGAGAGGAAGGTCAGAGGCATACGAACTCTGCAAAACAGGAAGCCTAGTCTGGTTTACAGATGGCCCCAAAATGGGCCATAATGTAGGATGTGGAATATATGATGTAAGACCGAAATTCAACAAATGTATGAATCTTGGGATAAACGCTACTATTTTCCAGGCTGAAGTATACGCCATTTTATAATGTGTGGAAGCTAATCGCCAACAAAACTACAGAAATTCGAAACTGGTAAAGGATTGTATTGACAAATTGAATGAACTAGGGCAAAAGAATAAATTATCAGGATCCTTGGGCATCATCGGCAATGAAAAAGCGGATGAATTAGCAAGGGTTGGAGCACAGGGACTACAAATAGGACCAGAGCCCTTATGTGGCAACCCAAAAAAAAATTTTTTGTGTTGAATAGACCATTTATCGAGGAAGGATTAAGGCTATACATCACGCTGCAACTATAAGGAGCGAAGAAATAATGGAAAACGCGGACGAAGTCGCTGGCGGCCACTAGTTCTATTATAAAAGAAATCCTACTTAAAAAGGTAATAAAGGTTTCATTTTACTGAAAAAAAGCTTTATTACCTCTATGCTGTGACAGCGTTGCGCTTGAGCTTGGAGCCTGTTTTTAACAAATTAGCATAGCTGATATAATATAAAGATGAAAGAATGATCTTCTCATTTCAAACTTTTGTACGAATCATTCTGCTTCGGACGCCATTATAGATTTTGAATTATTTCACAGTGTGCCGCTTTTTATTAGTCGAGCCTGCTCATTTGATTTTATGTCCAAGTCACACAAAATAAACCTGGACAAAAAGGATTATAAAAACGAACACATTGATAATGAAAATACGGTTTAATACTTAAACGCAATGGAAAAACTGTGAACAACCGTCAAGAATGCTAAAAAAAGGCTAAGTAAGATAAAATGCTTTTCCGTTTCGATATTTCTGATTTGAGCTTTGTACGCACGATTTGGCAGAATCTCCATTTTGTCCGAAAACTTACGATAGGAATGAGGGTCCGGTTTCACAAAGGCTTACGTTCTTCGATATTTGTAATATTATTAGATTTTCTTTTAAAAATGTTTCGAAAAAAGGCAAATTCTCACGGAGATCTACAACAGCGAATCGGACTCATTCTATTAATATATATACATATTATGTATCGGCAGGTAATAGATTTAGTCGAGACGTGCCTTCGTCGACATCCTGCTACTATTTGAAACATCCATCTGTAAATATTTATCATCGTCAAGAGACGTCAAGTTTACGAGAATAATCATAAGATAAATATTATCGAACCAGCTCCTGAAAGGTTGCAGGAAAGGTTCATGGGAAAATAGATTTGGCGAAAGGGGAAACTCGTGATGTCTGTAAGTGTTTTTATGTTAAAAAATGGGGGAGAAATCGTACGATAATTCAATATTATGTTTACAAAAATAACGTTTTAGTCATTGTTAAAAATAGGCAAGTTTATTTTTTAAACATTATAAAATGGTCTAAGAAGGAAAAAGGGCCATGATTCACGTAGTTGAACTTTCACATGTTATGTGTATGAGAAAATTTGTTTTCTCCAAAAAGTGATGTACACAATGTTAATATTAAAAATAAAAAAGCTAACACTGTTTATCACTAAATTAAAAAAAAAAATCATTCATGGGTCTATAAGTGCGCTTCTACAATAAGATCGCAACAATATACAACAGCAAGAAAAACATCTGCTATTGAAAAAAATAATATTATAAATTATTAGAATTTGTACCTAGCATTAATAAAATGAATGACAAGGTCAATTGCCCGGTTAAACTAAAATTCATTTATGGCTGGTGAAACATTTTTTATTTTTATTTAACGTAACATGAACCCTGATAAGGGCACTGCAACAATGGTAATATTAGATAAAATTATAATTTACTAGCTTTTCACCAGCAGCAACCATCAAAATCGGATGTGTAGTCGTAAATATCTCAGCGTACGGACATCGGGAACGGGAAGCAACTTTGTACTTACATGGTATTTTTTGTACATACATAGTTTAATATCCATAAAATCATAAGAAATTGGATATTAATAAGATCATTTGATAGGTGACTATTCATTTATTAACTCGAGCCCTTGCATGCTTCGGAAAGACAATCTGATCTCCTTATTCGATTATATCGGGAAGGTCTGAGCTCTAATCTAACGGTAGGCGATGGACACTTGTGCCAGTTGCACCGAATGAGTATTAATTTCAATAAATCACATATTTTCCTACCGCATATTTAGGACGTCTTTAATATGTGAAGAAGAAAGAAAGATAATGAACAAGCTTCATCAGGACCACTGTATCTCATTAATGCTCCCAGGCTGAATTGATATCAAAAAGAGCCCATTAGTAACTTAAAAAAAAACGGCTAATGGCGAGTCGGAATCGCGCACGAACTGTTCCGTACCGAAAACGAGAAAAAAATATATCATGTTAATTGTATGGAAGCCCCCCTCAAATATTTATTTTATTCTGTTTTTTAGTATTTGATGTTATAGCAGCAACAGAAATAGATTATATGTGAAAATCTGAACTGTCTAACTATCACGGTTCATGATATATGGCCTGGTGACAGACAGACAGCAGCGAAGTCTTAGTTATAGGGTTCACGTTTTACCCTTTGGGCACGGAAACCTAAAAATGAAATGGGTGGAAGTACAGTTAAAACATTTACAAAACAATTTCGTTACAGTGTCAACATATTAGCTACTACAAAATAGCTGGAAAACCAAAGCCAAAGTACTTTTAATAATAGCACGCCTTAAGTATAAAAAACTTTCTTAATACGTATTTTAAATTTAAATTTTATTGTTGAGTATTGTTTGAAATTTGATTTCAGTCACATTTTCAATTAATTTTTACTCTTTCAAGTCGCGAGATATAATTAATTTATTTTAATTCCTAGGAAGATCTTTGAATTGAATTATTAACTTTTTGATGCCTTGTAATCTTGTCGTCTCGTTGACTTTAATTGTAGTATTGTGAAGGTACTGGTTAAAAAAGGAGTTCAATGTTTTTGCCCTTTAATTAAATTTCGATGTTTATTTGCACGACTATTGTTAAAGTATTAAAATCTTATTTGGATGTTAGTTCTTTTATAAAACCAGTTGAAAGTTAGTGATTTTATAATAAGCCCTCTTAATAAGGATGACGACAGTGTTAAAAAATGCAATTCTATTTAGCCCGTCAGTCAGATAATAGAAAAATATTAGATACGTATTTTTTTTTTACTTCAATTTAACAAGAAATAGCTTAGATAAATGGCATTAAAACTAACGAGTGGAGGCTCGCTAAGTCAGAGTTTTGTAGAAAATGTACAAAAGCGTGACGTCATGTGACATTTTTACTCAATGTATCGGCGTAATTTAATGATTACACAAAAATTTAAGTATACGTGTGTAATAATCCAATGAACAAACAAAAAAAAAATGAATTCGTCATCCCTATTCAAAATAATAGAGATTAAACTATGAAATTGCCGATTTGTACTGAAAATTAAAATTGTTTATTTTTTAATTTTTAACAAATTTATTTAATCAAAATAGTTACCATTATTATCTATACATTGTTGCCATCTAATAGGAAACTCATTTATGTCTTGCGATAGAAATCACCATGCTGAGAACACCAAACAGTTACCATTACCTTGTTATTGGTAAGTTTTGCTTTAGGACACTGTTGTGGCGTTACGCCCGGGGGCCAGCCATTGCATTTTTCTTTTACGGTTAACATATAGAATCCACTGTTCATCACATGTCACAATTCGATCCGATTCATACAAGTTTCAACTCGCGTTTCTTTCTGCAGATCAGTCAAATCATGAGGCATCCATTTTTCGTATTTTTTTATTTTGATGTCATGCAAATGAGTCAGTATTGTGGGTAAGGTAACGTTAAATAATGCCACTGATTCCTGGGTAGTTTGACTAGGATCGGCTTCAACCATCTCTCTTATTCATCGTTATTCACCTGTGTGGGCGGTTTTCCTCGTGGCTCGTTCTTCAAGTCGAAGTTTTTCATCACGAAAGCGTTTAAACCAAAATCGCACGGTGCGTTCATTAGCGGACCCCTCTTCAAACGCAACATTGATATTGCGGGCTGTTTCTGCCACGTTACTTCCGCGTCGGAACTCGTATTAAAAATTACTCGAATTTTCGCAGTAACCATCTTTCTTGTCTAAGTTGAATAACAAAAAGAATTGAAAATCGATATCCAAATCTTTTAGAACATTTTTTAAAAGAAGAACATCATTGAAAACATGTGTAAAAAGGTACTTTCGAAAACCTCAAACCATGAAGATTCTATATCAATTCAAGGAACCTATTACAATAAAATGGCAATTTCATACTTTAACCCCTAAATAGGTTATTTATCAAACGTTCAATTAGACGGTAGATTTAAAATCCTCCGTAACCTTAATTTAGTATTATATTCTTTGCCATCGTGACGTAGTTTCACTTTGTTTACTAAATAGTGTCAATAGGCAGTTTTATTGTAAAAGAATACAATAAGTCGCCAGTGTTATTTAAAACTGATAAATAATTATATTATATACGAGTGATTCTAGTGAATTGGAATCTTAACAAAGCAGTCAAGAAGATTTGCCGAGTTAATTATTGTGTGTGAATAATTCTGTTGCTAGCTAATAAGAATATACAGAGAGTTCCGTGTATAATTGCTTAGTTAGCTGACCTCCGTTCAGCCTACTGTAGAGGGTTGTATTTAGCTGATTGACATTTGTTGCGCTATTCAATTAAAAGGCTAGCCATCCATTTGCTATTTTAACCATTCGTTCTTGACTGAGGCTATAAACTATGCGAGTTAAGTCGCAAAGAAGACAGCTAGCAAATAGAATTCAACTTACAATGCACAGTGATATTTATTGCGTCGGCTCTAGTCTCGCCGACGGCGTTACCGGCTGCGCAAGAGTACCGGCCAGTGTTCCTCCGAGTCGCTTCCTCCACAAATAATTTAGACGAGTGTACATCATCACCCCAGAATCCACCCGAAGTTATCTGACTATCCTGAAACAAGATAATGCGAGTCTTACGAAGGTAATTTTTATCAGACCCACTATCTACAACACAGGAGTTAGGAGATTCAATTGTTATTTATTAATATAACGAAGAGTTATACAGTGCAAAGGTTTGTACTTAATCTATGATGCGGAGGTTAATTAATTTAAGCAAGAGCTTGTCATAGGATGAAACTAGAGAATTTATTACAGTAAGTTGGGTTACTTCTGCATTTTCTGTTGTTATTACCCACCACTCACTGGTGGAAACAAGACATTCCAACCGTGTAATTTCTATTACTATACATTAGCTTCTATTTGTTTATTCATGGCTAACTAAGCATTTATAATTTTACTTGAAACCTCTTAGATAATTTTTGTTAACACTAAAAAACCAACAATATTTGTTGTGGATAAACATCGAAAACCAAAAAAATGTTTCTCTTTGACAAGTAATTTGAATAGAAAACAAAATTTGCTGTTTAGCACGAATTTAATAGTATTCAGTGATTATAAGATAAGAAAATTATTAATTTAAAATATGGATCCATCTTATCCTTCTGTTCGCAACCAACTCTCTTTGGCATTTATAAGAAAGAGTTTGTTTACTCTTGTTTTTATATTTTATTAAAATCAGTCTCTACATTGCTATATTACATGACTGTATTCGGAAACTATGTGTTTAGTTCGGTCCTCAATACTTTCGGATATATGGTACATCACTAATCTTATAATAGAGTACATAACGTTGAAGTTGAGTGCAGTTTTATTGAATCTTTCATCTAAGTCCAGGCCTCCTGGTTTGCTAATTTAATTCCATTCAAAAGGGAAAGTCTGTTCTTTAGTAACGATTTAGTAGAATCGTTACTAATAACACCCAGTATAAGCCTAAGCTTATGCAAATACAACAATATTCATATCTTTGCGCCAGGCAATTAAATTAATATAAATATCTAAGTTTAGTTTAGAATTTACGAGAAGAGCTTCTGTTTTTGTCTTTGTTAAAAATGAAAAGCTTTTATACAAATTGGTTCATTTCATTGATTATTATACCCGAGTGCTTCTTGAGCACTTCATTAACTAAGTAATCAGTTTTAAATTATTACGATATCAGTCGTTATCTATTATATATAAATTTAATATAAAAGTACTCAGCCATTAGGGATATTAATTGCCTGCAAATAAATGAAATCTTATTGAAAAAGGAGTGAAAGTGGTGTAGGTTGCTAGTAATTTTATTTGAAATTAGAAGACGCACTTATTGTATATTTGATGCTATAATTTAACTGTGCTATTAATAAACAAGCGTTGGAGTAAATTTATGCTGAGACTGCAATCAGTATTAGTCAAAATTAATATTATTAAATTTATTAAGAAGTCCTTCTGACAAATCCGTGTAACAGATATCAGAGTAATAAATAATGGATAAAAGTAGACAATGCGTCACGGAGATCTTGGTTCGAGTAGGCAGGAAGTTGCGTAGATGATTAAGTGACCCATATGTCAAATTGCAAATATTTTCTTTTTAACAGCCTCTACCTGTGGTTTCCAAGTTAGACTTTGATCGAAGATAACTGCAAGATTCTTTTCAGTTTTAGAATAAGGGACTACAACACCATTAAAGGTTATTGACGGTAATAAATCAAAATCGATTTTAGAAATAAAATGAGAACTGCTAAATAAAATAACTTGAGTTTTAGAAGGATTAACAGTAAGATTATATGAATTGCTACAATTACTTATAAAAGACAAGTCTGAGTTGACAACCGATACTGCATCTGAAACGTGTGACAAGGGTGCTTGAGTGTAAATTTGTAGGTCGACAGCGTAAAGGTAAAGGATAAGAAAGTATTTCTGTTATGAAATTTATACATATAGAAAAAGTAAAGGAGATAAGATGCCACCCTCAGGCATACCGGCATTGATATCGCACCACTGTCATCAATACCGATACTTTATCGGCGTCAATTGTAACTGAAGATATATTTAGAGATACCAAGATACTGAGAATAATATCAAAATCAACAGAGTTAAAGGCATTACTAAAATCTAGCAACGCCAACAACGTAAGCTGATGATTTTCCATACCCCGTCGAATGTCATTAGTAATCTTGACCAGTGCAGTAGTAGTGCTTACGAAAGCCAGATTGAAACGGATTAAGAAGGTGAATTGAATTAAGAAAGGTCATTAATTGATAGTTTACGAGTTTTTCAAGGATTTTGGAGAGAAATATCTATTATAGGAAGGGTCATTTTACGACTAATTGAATCACTACCCACAGTACTGGAATTGATTGACAACATTGTTCTCTCAACATCACAATCTGCGAATTGATGAAAGAAAAAGGGAGAATTATGAGTTAGTAGACCTGAAAGACGATGTAATATTTCCGCTTTACGGTTGCCATCAGTAGGAGCCGAAGTAGGGAAAAAACTGTTAAGCTGATCAATATCAATATTAGAGAGAGTTTGCTAACTCCAAGTGATTTTAGGATTTTCCACACTTTTCCAGGGTAGTATGATTATTTACTGATTCGTGAATATAGTGTCTTTGGGCGTCCCTTACCACCATGTTGCAACGATTTCTGGATCGATTATATTTAAGTCCATTATAATTTGTAGGATTAGATTTGATGGATGGTGTGCTACTTGACCTTTTGCACCAGATGGCACAGTCCCTAAAGTTTTGTTAGTTATGGTTATTGTTCTACTATGCCAAGAAAGAGGATGATGCAACGAATTCCACAGTCAATGTAAAAGCCACCGTGATCTGTTATAGTAAACTTGACATAAGCCCTAACATTAATTGCAATTATGGTGCAACCGATACTAACAGCCAGTTACACAAACGTTCATTAAAATGGCCAATAGTTTAATGACCCATATATATTTTCATATTTAGAATATTCATTAGAGCTTAATCTTCATTAAATCTTAATGAACTTTTGAGCAACTGACTGTAAGTGCGCAACGCAAGGGAATGTGTTTATGAGTCTATGTATCTATGTTTTTATGAATAATTTTTATATACATACATTGAAGTACCAGGTGAATTTTTCGACGGGTGGATTAGCCTTCACCTCGCATTCTAGATGAAGACTATCCAGCTCCACCAGCTCGTTCAGTTTCCCGTCACCAAGTTTCGTCACCTCCACAATTGGACTATCTGTCAAATAACACATTTCCAATATACAACAGCAAGTCAGATGCTACGAAAGGCCAAATATTTCAATTTGAATTTAAACCTTTTGATCGTGGAATTCAGAATTGAAGAATAAATCATTTTGTGGCGACTTTTTTTTTTATGGGATAGGGGGCAGACGAGCAGACGGATCACCTGATGGTAAGTGATTACCGTCGCCCATGGACACCTGTAACACCAGAGGGGCTACAAGTGCGCTGCCGGCCTTAGAGGGAAGGGTTGAGGGGTAGAGGGAAGGGAATAGGGAGGGGTTGGGCCTCCGGAACCCTCACTCACACGACGAAACACAACGCAAGCGTTGCTTCACGTTGGTTTTCTGTGAGTCCGTGGTATCACTCCGGTCGAGCCGGCCCATTCATGCCGAAGCGTGGCTCTCCCACGGTCAAAATGAAGAAACACGGAATAAGGCCCTGTTGGATGCAAGTCGTAGTAGTGGTAATCCTTCTAGTAGTACTGTGATCTTGTACGTCGCAAAAATGTTCGTCATGGATCAGACATTTTTGGTTAATATTATAAAACTTAAGTGTTTTCAATTATCATATAATATTTTATTTAATGATATTATTGGCAAACCAAATAAACCTAATATTAAAATAAGAACATATCATGATGTTTAGAGTTTGGATTTATTATATCATATATTACTAGGTGTTGCGATTCAGACGAGTAAATTCGTTGGTAAAAGAATTTTTAAAATCGGTCCAGTATTTTCGGAGCCTATTCGATGCAAACAAACAAATAAACATATAAACACATAATCAATTTATTCCTCTTTATAATATTAGTATAATAAACACATAATCAAATTATTTCTCTTTTAGTATTACATGCTATCTCACGAGAAACTTATTATTATTTAAATTATTAGCTATAATATGTATCTATCGCTTTAGATCACTCAAACTTGTCACTATAATGTTGACGACGACGACGACTAAAGTGTACCATACGCCATAGTTTGCAGACCTAATTATTTGTGCAAATTTAAAATTTGTATTATATTATAGTAACGCGAAAGTAGCTCAATGGCGTAGCGGATAAACGCCGTGGACCGCGATTGTTGTAGTTAATCTTTCGTAAAGATCAGTCACGGGACGGGTGACCAAATAATTTATAATCTTGAACTACTCTGTGTTCGGAAGGCACGTGAAGATGTTGGTCTCGGCTGCATTTGCAGTTGTTAATACCCTGAAATCCGCATTAGGCTAGCGTGGAGGGTCATGGCCCATCGTCCTTAATAAGAAAGGCCTAAGTGCCTGCAGTGGAGGTAAAAGGACTGATAATAATGATAGTAACTATATTTGAAAAAAATGTATCCTTCTAGAAATATTATATGTTCTGCTAGCATGAGCCTAGCGATCTATTGTTAATCTTTTGAGTCATTTTCGTTTTAGTAATGATATTTTCATTCCATTTTGAAATACATATTTGGTAGTAAATGTTTTGTGAATGTGATTCTCCCTACTAACATGGATCAATTAGCATTCCGAGTGGGAATGTCACAGAATTACGAAATGGATGGCATAAAATTACTGTCATCGTTGTTTCAGAGTTTATGTTAACCTTAATTGAGTAGACATTCGAGTAATCAGAAATTTAATGCGTGCAACGCAATGTTATTGAATTGAGTAAAAAAATCCTTGCCTTTGCTTTCAATAATATCAGTACTGTATTACCCAACATACCAATACTTTAAAGAGTAACAATTTGATTGTTTGCATTGAACAGGCTCCGAAACTAATGGATCGGTTTTAAAAAAAAAATCACTTATGTGAAGCTACACCATACGACAGCAACATAGGCTATAATTCTCGTAGACGAAGTCGCGGAAGAGCAACTCGTTTTTTATTTAAGTCATTTTTTTATTTATTTTAATAGTACTTATAAAAATAAGCCCACAATAATAAATATTTCAATAAAAAAAAAATTATAGAGTTTATTCACTGATTTTGCAGATTTAAATGCAACTTTTTCATATAAAATTGCGTGCGTCATAATCAACTACTAAATAGATATAAAAGGGTTGACGACTGTGTATAAAAAAGAAATTCTATTTAATCAGTCAGTCAGATAATAGAAAAATATTACATACATATTTTTATTGCTTCGAATTAAAATAAGATATGACTTAGATAATAAGCATTGACGTCAACAGTTTTGTAGAAAACATACAAAAGCGTGACGTTATGCGTCACATTTCAACTAAATGGATCGCCACAATTCATATGGGTGTAGACTGTAAACGAAAATATTTCTTTTTCTGGTAGTGTTTGGATGATCACACTTTTATGGTTAATTATATTTATTATATTGCTCAAATGAATTAAGAAAAAAAAATATTTTATACTCGTTATCACGTGACCGCAAGCAGCGCGTGACATCACACCCCTCTTACTTATATCAGAACTAAGAGAATTGAACCTTATGCATAACCTTAATCTTATGAACGATATTAGTTTCAGAGGCCGTGACGTCATAGCGACGCCATGACAGAATGTCATTTTTCGCAGGAAATTTTGAAAGCAAAATTTATTTTTAGATTTGAACGAATTTTATATATTTCATGTAAATCTATAAAATAACAATATAAAAAAGTTGTCCACACCCATATTGATTACGCAAAAAAACAAAAAAAAAATATGCATAATATAATTTAAAAAGTTAGTGTTCTATATTCTTCAATAGTCTATCTGACGAACAAATAAACAAAAATTAGTCATCATCCCTCTTGTTTATGTTTACATATTAAAACTTTGAGAAATAAACCAAATATTAAACAACATAATACGTAGCTAAACAGACGTATTCTAGAATATTTAAACCTGTATTTACTCCATTGGGTATCAAACTGGGGACCACAGAGGTGGCGACTTATTGAATTCGAAACAAACATACGAGCCACTCTGCCACGGAATCGTTTATTCCAGAAAGCACAGAAATAACATAATATAAAAATAAATATTTATTCATGAAACGTTTATTATTGATTTCCAGGGTTTATTGGTTTAAGGGTAAAAATCCTATTACTAAGACTCCTCCGCAGTCCGTCTGTCTGTCTCCGGGCTGAATCTCATGAACCGTGATAGCTAGACAAAAAATTTCACAGATGTATTTCTGTTCCGCAACAACAACCCACTCCCCGAGGTTTTATGTTTTCCCAACACAAGCACTACGTATATTTGAAAACTTACAGGTCACATTGAGCGTAATGACGTCGGCCTTTGAGCCCCTGCTGGGTGCCATAGCGGGGTTGGTGGCTATGCACGCGAGTGTAGCTCCGTTATCCAGTACAGCTGGATTTAGCTGTAGCAATGATACCGAGGTATGGGTCGCGTTACTCCAACTCTGTAAAATTATTTATAATGAAATTATTCTGCATTAAATCACTTAAAGTTTACAACGGGACTAAAGGATTATAAGTACTTTATAGAAACTAAAAAAATATTGTTAACACCGTCCAGTAAATAAGCTACTCTATGGTTAACACCAAATACAAAGAAATACGAAGAAAACAAAAACAATAATTAAGCTATGCGTCAGCAATCAGCGCTCTTATTTTTGCACAGCGATCTCTTCAGATATAAGCATTAACTGTCATTTTAGTACAGACAACAAAAAAAGGTCGCTTAATATTTATCAAATTCCTCGTTTATTTTTATATTTATTGTATTATTCATGTTGACATGACTTTATCAAGAATTGATATGATATGTTTTCTCACTTTGTCTCTTACTCTGTTATTTATTACTAACTACGAAGTTGAGTAAGCGCGTCACCATAGTTCAATTTTTATCGTCAATGTGGCGTAACCGAAGTTGAAGCGCAATATGAACTAAGGCGGTATGACCATTCGACGGTACTATTCTTATGTGGCTCGTATATTAATATTTTGATTAAAGTTGGGAGGATTTGGAAGTTGATTAGTTTGGGATAATAGCGACAGGTTAGGTTCTAGAAGTTTTCTGTTATATATACCTGATTGCTGTGTTGCGTGAGATGATGGTGGTTTAACAGCCAGTCCAATTCCGGCTGCGGGTAAGCACCATGAGCTGTGCACTTCACCAGTGCTGGTTTGCCAGCCTGCAGGACGTCTTCCACTGTACCATCCACCCAGTATATGGACACGTTGTATGCAGGCACTGTGGAATGTAGGTATATATTCTTTATGTCATGATTCAGTTGAATAACTGAGTCACGGCAGAAATATTGAAGATTGATTCTCTATTAAGTGTATTCCACACGATTTTTATAACTGTTTAGAAGGTTGGATAAAATATTTAAATATAAACCTATTTCCGAACTTCACAAAAATACATATTATAAATTAATATAAATAAATAACACCAATAAATCCTTCCAATGGTGTTTATGGTAAAATATTTTAAAGAGTTCTGTGAGTATAATGGACCACTTACGCGAGGTCAATAGCTAAATCAGTCCAGTATGCTAGATCAGTAAAAAATTAGACTGTATTACCTAGACTGTGTAAAAAATTAGAGGCCAATACTACTTACTCGATTGTTTAGGCTATTGACATCGTGTAAACGGTCTAATACTATAAAGGCAGTCAACAGAAAAACAGGTAATGCCAGGGTTTAAATCCCTTAATTTTTTTTTATTTAAATGTAAATTCTTTACATTAGATTTTTTCGTCTCTGATCTTTAATGTCAGTTTTGAGTTCCACTTGTAGTAAACTTTAATGAAGACAGTTAGCGTGATAACACAGTTTAATATTAAAAAACGTGACAGAAACTACTATATAAAAATAATTCATGTTTCTATTGATATAAGTTATTGATTTAAATAAGTTTTTGAGCGCGCAATGCTTACCTGAATGTCTGAATCGATTGCCGATGAATGACCAAAATATTCAAAGCCCTAAAGCGATTAAAATTAGGTGAATAAAGATTGAAAGTTAATTAATTTTAATCTCGAGTAATTTAAATGAAATATTTTTCTATAATAAAGTAGCTTAGCTTATACGTATACGTTACTTGGACGGCAATTGTAGTAATAATGCATATTATTTGATTAAATTAATAAGGTTAAGTAAAAAAACCGTTAAAGATAAAACGATTGAACCGGTAATATTTTCACTTAAGTATCTTATTTGTCAATCAATGTTGATATGAATAGCTTTGCTCGACTGATAAATGATCCATCTAACTTCGAAAATGTTTAAACAAGTAAGTTTTGAGACACCCATTACATACGTCTGATCCAAGTAAAATTGTCTATGAAACATTTCCGTGACGGTCTGATAGCATTAATAGTTTAGATGAGCATACAAATAAGAAGTTCTCTGCTGATGGACAGTCAGATGATGACGGTACGGATATTAAGCGGTTGCTTCGGAAAGGTCGCACCAAATTGACTGAAACTATTTGGGATAGGCCACAATCAATGTTGTTGTATTATTGTTTTGTTTGCTATAAGCTTGGTAGAGGGATGTTTATGGGTAAACTGCTTACTAAATTGGGTTGTTCACAGGAAATTGGATCGGTAGTTTAGAATGGACTTGTGGAGGGTAGCGAGCGATTTTGATTACGTTGCGCTTTAAAATTTCAAGTTTCAGGACTTTGGACGTAATTGCTAAATAATAATATTTTGCCAATTTAAGCCAATTTGATCTTTAGGCCACAATTTTGAAAGGCTACATTTTAATATCAGTTTATTTTTTATTTCTATTTATGATGATCATTATTTTTGTCCGTATCTCAAAAGGAAAAATAAGGACCTTATAGTACCTATATAATTGGATCACTCGGTTCTGTCTGTCCGTTTGTTACGTAAATTCTGCTAATGTTTACATAGCATCCCAATAGAATCTGGACTCGTGTTTTACCATTGTACTTTATACCTCAAGTCCAATATTATTAGTGAACTTCAGGTAGATAATACAATGGCAAAATGCGGGTAATTTTTATTAAAGAATTCCCAAGTCATTGTGTCCATATAATTAGAAAGTACACAAAGTTAATAAAATGAAAAATAAGAATTTGTTGGCCGTAAAAAGTAAAAAAAGGAAACCTGAATTTCTCAAGAACGCAATCATTTCTCTAAATTTCAAAGGATTTCCGGCCAGAGTACTATTACAGTGCGAAATAGGAATTCACAACTTATTTTATGATCTTTAACATTTTTCTTTTATTCGTATTCGTTTTTCGGTTCTCAATATTAAGCTTTAGAGCCTTGGAGGTATAGAATTTAAGGCTAGTATCACATGTATTAAATTATAACCTAAAACTGACTTGTGAATACTTACACTGAAATAAAATATAGAACGGTGGGTTTTGTGTTGGTTATATTGATCGTTCGATTTCATTAGAAGTTTAATCAACATTATAAAAATAATAAAGAACAATGGCGAACTCCCATATAGCTTTGGACCTGAATTATTAAAGTCCCGTTCATGAATGAAATAAACGTGTACTTGAAGGTAAAAGCTAAACTAAGAAAATCCTAATCGTCTTTTTCCTTTAAAAGTTGGGATTAAAAAGATATGGCATAAAATACTTTGTGGGGTTATATATTGCATCTTTGCTTTTTCGTTGAATGGACGTTAAAATAAATAAAAATTGTAACCAGGTTACTCCGTTTAATAAACTAGATTAAAATAATTACATATCTAACAAGATCCAGATACTTATAATAGAAGAAACATTTATAACATATGACTAAACTGTGTGGAGTAGATCCCTTTGCCTTTAATTAAATCATTAGAACTGAAAATGACAAATAAGGGCAATGTACACATTGAACTGTCATTGTTATAACCGAATCGATTGCCATTCGGAATCCAAAAGTAATGCAAATATCAACGTTAGTCGAAGAAACATGCTTAATTGTCAATACGTAATTTGAACGAATAAAATAAATATTTATGAAAGTATTCAAAGACCGTATTTCAAATAATATATTATATATAGATTTTATATTGAATATATTTTTGACGTTCATACGCTCAGTCGGTACACGTCATTACATCACATATCTCACTTATTATTAAAGTGGTAAATGGCGACAGATAATATTCTATAGAACATGTTTGAAAAACTCACGATTAATTGAGAATCGCTTCCGACATCGTTGATGTTTGTGATCGATTTTTCAAAAACCATCCAAACTACAACCCTTTGATATATTGTGTGGTTTTCAATTAAAGAGAACGGAATCGATTCTATACAATCTTATTTTGAATTTATATTCGATTGTTAAGCGTATTAATGGTACTTTAAAGGCAATATAATTAATTGCAATGTACAGGAAACGATAATATCCATTAAAATAGATGACCCTTTTATTGCCCGGCGCAAAATTCACGAAACACTTCCAAGATATAGTTTTATTATTAAAGTACTTCTGCGTAGACCGGAACGTTTCTTAAGAAGATTTTCGCGTTTTGTTTTTGCACTATCATCAGACGTTTTGTTATCTTGATAATTATTAGCAGCATTTAATATTTTAGTTTGGTTCCCCGACATTAAAATTCACCATTTTGTAGAAATAAAATCTATTAATCATATATTATTTATTTGTTATATTGCCATCCATGTACGGTTTTGTAAATTATGGGGTCTGATTTCGCCATTCTTCTTTATATTTCATATTTTTAGTCATAAATAGAATTTTGATCTAAGTGTAACAAAAATCAAAGGAAAGCGAAATATGCGATCTTATGTGGTATAGATTTGTGTGAGTACGTACGTGGGTTTGTGCGTGCGTGCGTGTGTGAGGGCGTTTGTGCGCTCGTGAGAGCATGCGTTGCGCGCGTGTGTGCGTGTGTGTAAATTATGATGCTTATGATGGACTAAAAGAAACTTATTTTCATTTTCCATTGATCACTAAGTCTGACTTGTTGGTTACAAAAATGTGCAGTTAACTGATTTTACTGGTATGGGTGCGATATCGTAGACTATTTCGTCTTCTGCCCTGCTCTAATTTAAGTATTTTCAATACAGCATGTTGAAAAAGTATATTAAGAAGTTTCCAACAGTGAAAATTGGGTTTAAGACCACGGCTCCAGTTTGTATGCATGCCGCAACGGTCTATACAAGGCTTTATGGTTCGCTCGAGCGTTCCGTTCACAGTCTGACTTCCTTTACTCGCCGAATTTAGTTCAATAAACATGATTAGTGTATAACGGAACGTGATATGCTTTTACTTGGAATGTATGCGATTTTTCATAGATTTTATTTTACTTCTTGCTATTTACTAGAGTACCTATGGTTTTATCATTTCAAGTTTTAATATTTAAACAAGATAGTTTCATTATAATAATAAGCCCATAAAGTTAAATTATAGTATTTTTGTTTTAAAGAGACATTTTTTTATTATTTTTAATTTTATTCCTAATAATTATTAAGAAAAATAGGTCAAGTGCGAGTCGAGTGCGAGGGTTCTGTACCATTTTCATTAGCCAGTTAAAAACCATTTGACAGAATATCGACAGAAAAAGAAATCAAAAGTATTTACACAGCCCGGTTTGATGGCTAATTTGTATCAGCATCCTTTACAAAATGTTTGAAAGCGAATATATATCTCAAATCACAGTTAACAGTAAAAAGTTTATGACCACATAACATACGCAAAGGGCACGCGACTTAGATAAAATTTATTCGAATGGCAAACGTATTGACTCCTTGGTTTTTATGGTTGGCTGTGTGTCGTGACTTCAATTTCCGTCAGAGAATAAGTGCTTAGTGCTTTTCGTGCAAAATAATCCTACATATTGGTAAAGTTGTCAAGGACTGATTTTAAACTGAATTTTTATGAAATAGCTCCATACGTATGAAGTTATAGTATCGTTTGTGGGTATATGTAAGTGTAAATACGACTTCGTTCAATAATAAACTTATTAACTTTAAAAAAAAAAACATGAATTTTGTGTGACGTAATTTATGAACGGCCCCTTTTTAGAACGTACGAGTGCCTGCGCCTACACCTGCATCACTAGCGAGGAGGGGGCGCACATCACTACGCCGGACCCGGCTGCCATGGATGCCGGGTGCGGCGCGGCGACACACACACTCAGACGACGCACGCATACGCATTCGGACTACTCGACGCGACATATTCTTATATTGAGATTTTCCTCGAATTACAGTCCATTTAAAGTCTTCGTTTCTTTTATTTTTATCTTCAAATAGTCTCAAACAAATGGTCCTAAACCTATGAGAAAGTCGTCGCGCATCGAGAAAACAAGCACTCGGTCTTCAAAACCTGTCTAACGGAGCACATGGAATCGTCGACGCCATCTTATCGTCCTATCGTCGTGTCCTCTTCAAAGAAAGGGATCAACCGAGTGAGTCCGTTCCATATTCCTTCTAATTTTTCCTAAAGGAATTTAAAATAGATTCAATATTGCTTCATTTCATTAAACCTAAATATCATCAATGTTTTGTTAATAGTATTTTTTTTTCACTCATAAATAATTACATCGAATTAATTACTATCATCGTCATACATTTTTAATTTTGCGCAATACCTAAACGCCCGCTTGGCGCCAGCGCTTACCAACACGCTTGGGCCTGCAAACGCGTTATCACAGCAGCTCGGCTTTATTTGCGCGTACCCACATTAAGTTATTAATTTCAAAATTTTTAGGTTTATTTTCTTTTTTTTGCACAAATTCATTTTCCTTTTCTTACAATGGCTGAAGAATCGAACATAAAGCGCCTTTTTAAAGGGCGTAGTAGCCTTAAAGCAAAGCTTACGCAATTTATAAATTATTTAAATGTTGCTAAATCATATTCGTCATTAAGCCTTACCCACAAAATAGAACTCGAAACCCGAATGAAATTTATGGATGAAACCTACATAGATTTTAATAAATTGCAGACTGAAATTGAAACCTTGACTGAGGACGAACAAAAGGAGTTCGTCGAGCGAGAACAATTTGAGGGCGCTTATTTCGCAAATATAGCCCTCGCACGCAGCATGCTGGATGCCCCGTCCAGCAGTACGACCGAGGAGCACGAGCCATCAGCGGGTGCCAGCACAAAGAGGGATTTTTTTCGTCTGCCTGACATCACTCCGCCTTCCTTCGATGGAGATTTTCATCACTGGCTCGAGTTTCGAGATACGTATATTTCTCTCATACACGAAAACCCGCGAATTAATAACATCAGCAAATTTCACTATTTACGCGCATCTCTAAAAGGAAACGCATCTTTGGTAATTCAAAGCTTAGAATTTACGTCTAATAATTATATTATAGCTTGGCAGTTGTTAACAGAAAGATTTGACAACCCAAAAATATTAATTAACAATCACATTCAAGCATTGTTCAATGTTGAATCTATTCAAAAAGATTCTTATAAATCTATTCGCAATTTAATTGATATTATAAATAAAAATTTGCGTGCCCTCAGCAGTCTGGGACAACCCACTGATCATTGGGACATCTTGATAATTTATATGATGAGTAAAAAACTTGATTTTATAACTAGTAGACTTTGGGAAGAGTACAAAAACACATTATCCGATCAACCATCCTTGAAACAATTTCTTACATTTTTAAACAACAGAGCAGAATTAGTCGAAACAATACATAGCAATAAACAGTCATACAAAACATCTCTTACAATACCACAAACACAGAAACAAAAATCATTTGCCATAGTTACCGAAAAAATGCATAATAATACAAAACATCAATCTTGTCCACTATGTAAACAAGAACATTTTCTTTTCAACTGTAATTCATTTAGAGATTTGGATGTTGACACGCGTATTAAAAAGATATCTACCTTTAAAAATATTTGCAAAAATTGTTTACGTATTGGACATTCACACACATCATGTAGGCTGACACACTGCAAATATTGCAACCATAAACATAACACTCTTCTTCATAAAGATATTGAAAATAGTAAAAACAATACAAACATCGAAACTATATCACTATCAGCACATACTCAATCAAATTCATCTTCCATGTCCCACTCTCATATATTGCTTTCCACAGCCATGGTGACAGTGAAAGACATCAGCGGTGTTCAGCATACTGCCAGAGTCTTGCTGGACAACGGCAGTACATCCAACTTCATCACC